TGCTTGTAATTTAGGTGCAACTGATGAAAAAGAGTGTGTGCGTGTGTGTGTGTGTGTGTGTGTGTGTGTGATGCGAGCTGTTTGGTGTGGCTGATGCTCTGGTGAAAGAGCGAAGAACCTCCGGTCTCTGACGTCTCCAAATGTTCCTGATTCTAAACTGGTCCAACAGACCTGAACCGACAGCAGCACGTTATGTTGTGGGGGAGGGCACGAAGGGGCAGCTGTTTCGCGCATGCGTACACAGTGCAACCCTGAAATTGTTACAAATTTATTGTGAAATTTATATTGGAGAATCTTGGTGATGATCATCGGCTCTATTGTATTATTCATTATGCATGTTATATAAGGTCGTATCAGTACTGAATTATTAGGCTACCATATTCACATCCCATGCTTTTATGTGCTAAATAGCCTACACAAGCCTACTCTTGATGTTACCATGATGCATGCTCAATATATAGGCTACATATATATATATATATATATATATATATACTGATGGCCTATTAATAACACCCGTAATAATAATTATAAATATAGGTGTTGGGATGTTTTAAATTGTCGTTTAGTTTCTAATTTTAGTTTTGATGATGATGATGATGATGATAATGCATTTTATTTATAGTGCGCTTTTCTCCAACCCAAAGCGCTACATAGTATAGTAGACACATACAAGATAATAAAACAGAAGAATCAAACAACAATATACAAATACCAGACATACTACACCTCAAAGACAATAAACATTTTTAAAAAGTTTTCAGATAAATGTTTACTCATGGGACTCCTGAATGGACAGACACGTCTTCTGAGATTCTATAATGAAAAATTCAACAGTAACTTCAACTGGCAAGATAAATAACCTTTATGAATATGGTTTATTCCTAAAAATAAGTGGGAAAGTTTTAAACACCTTTTAAAAACCAGTGCGCATGCATGTAAAGCTAAGCTTTTGTATGGCTGATAAGCGGATATTCACAGACCTGTACTAAATAATCGACCAGAACTTGCTGAAACCCCTTAAACACACAGGTAATCGATTGAGGTAAACCTCTAACGAGAATGGAAGAAAAGAAGGGAACAAAGTGAAGAACTGCAAAATGAATGCTATTCCCATCACTATTTTCTTCTGCTTTCTGAGCACAGCTGGGCTGTAATGAGGCTGTTAATTAGTGATGACCTCAGTAAACACAGATGACTTATGTAACACACACACACACACACACACACACAAAACATGATTTTTTTCAATGGTATGAATTATGAAATAAAAGCTAAAATTCCTCAGCTAAAAAGTGTAATGCTCTACATTTCTTATGTGAGGTTAGTTGAATAAAATCAGCCATTTCAGATCATACATTTGAACAAATACTGATTTTCATTCGTCTTTCTTTCAAATGTCACCACATTTTTTTCCTTCATTGTGTGCTTCTGAAATGTTTGTTAGTGTTTACATATAAAGCTCCAGTCTGTAACTTTTTATCCCAAATAAATTAGAGCATACCCAGTATTCAAAACTATCTACTTGTCATAGCTTGTCATCTATCTATAAATTACAGGAACGTCCAGCCCTTTCTTTCTCATGTTGCTTGCTGCTCTTCTCACCATCAGATGACCAGCAGGCTCACTTACTTTGTTTTGTTTAGTTCTGAGAGCACACACAGTTTAATATGCTATTATACTCTAATAACTCCATGTAAAAGCCAGAAACTAAGCTTTTTTGTTGTTGTTGCACAGGCCTATCTAAAGGGTTAATGGTGCCCCCTAGCAACAGTAAAAATTAAAAATGTTTACCTCTTCCCAAGCAGGGAAAACCACCCGAAAAAAATCATGATTATATGGTGTCATGGCTTTGCCATAAAAAAATGTGGTTATAATGGAATTCAATGGGGCAAAAACAGCCAGGAACAGTAAACGAGGGAGTTAAAATGTTAAAATGTGATGCTGCATGAAAACTAACAATGCATCAAAAACCAATGTTGTTTCTAATCTTTGCCATGTCCAAGGCTGTGATAAAAGGTAAAAAAAAAAAAAAAAAAAAATCAGTCTACAATCACATTTTACATTGAAAATAAGTAATTTTGTCGCACACAAAAAAAACAGACATAATTTATGAACTTGGCAAATAAAGAGTTAAAATCTGATTTAAAAAAAAAAACTTTTAGTAGTTTTGATCAGGACTGAGGTTGATTGATAGATTTATACATCAGATGAAAGCTTTGAGACAGTTGCATCACAGAACTTATCTGAAGCAGCAGAGAGGAGCAGCAACTGTTGTGGTTGAGACGGAAAGATTCTGGCTGGCTGTGTACAGGCCGACATGCTGCGGTTTCGTAGAATTCTTGAAAAACTGGAAGAGTTTGTTGGTTTATTGTATATACAAACTATGTATATAGTTTGCATAATTAAAGTGACCAAGCTACAAGCTACAAGTTAAGGGATCAAGTGCAAGCTACCACTTGCATACTTGTTCCCATTCCTGGTAGCCTGTATAAATACTGCTTTGTTCCTTTATGTCCCTCAGTTCTTGCAATAATAAATGACTCTTTATCATCCAGGGAGGTACCAGCAGTTTTAAAAAAGCAAAATTTGGAGGCAAAAAAATTGTCAAATTATCGCCCAATCACAAATCTCTAATTTCTTTCAAAAATATTGGAGGGTGTGGTTGCAGCACAACTAAACAAGCACTTAATTGAAAATGAACTATTTGAGCCTCATCAATCAGGATTTTGAAAATTACACAGTACTGAGACTTCATTGGTGAAAGTCGCTAATGACTTACAGTAATAATCAGGGGTGTAAAGTAACGAATTACAAATACTCACGTTACTGTAATTAAGTAGTTTTTTTTTCAGAAATTGTACTTTTTTGAGTAAGTTTAAAATTGTGTAATTTTACTTTTACTTGAGTACATTTTAAGTGATGTATCGGTAATTTTTCTCCGCTATTTTCCTTCTGTTTGTGGCCGTTACTCGTTACATGCTTGTTTTAATTTTATTTTTATCCATCAACGTGATTGGATCGAGTAATCGAACTTCACTTCTATTCACAACTCCTCTCCTGTGGCATGGGATAGTAAAGTTTCCATCGAATGCAGATTTCAGAATACCATTGTAGTCATCTGGGTAGCTTATTGCCGACTCTTTTATGAGTACTGTGAATTCAGACACGGTAACTTTTGTCACATACTGTTGTGACAAGGTGGTTATTTTTTTATTAAAACTTTACCTCATGGTCAGAGTTGAGAACCCCTGCTCTATATGGAGGAACACAATTTTTTTTTTGGTAAACTGTTGGTACTTTGTTTAGGTTGAGTTAATATAATATCAACCAAGTTGATATTTCTTTTAATCCTAAAACAAAACACAATGGGTAATTATTGGGTAAAACACTGATATATCAGTATGGAAATTTTAAAGTTACTGTCAAAGTACATCAACCTTCTTCAACCTTCACTTTCCAATACAGATTTACAAACTGAGTAATTATTTTTTAACTGTCTAGTTTGTGTAAGCCAGAAAGAGTGTTATAGGTATTTTAATGATTTACAGGTGTGAAGCATAATGTTCTTGTTAAGGCAATTTTTAGACAAAATGAGCAAATAACATATTCAGCATAGTTGTTGTTAAAGTAATATTTTAATATAATGCAAAAATTTCAGAGCTTCGGGTTAGAAAAAGCATAGCTTATAGGCTGAATCCGAAATTAGTGGTGTCCGAAACCACAGTGGACATTATTGAGTGCACTTATTTAACCACATATTGCACTGTAATAACATGTGTAGGCGGTGTGAACTAGACATCAAAAACTAGGGGCCCCTAAAATCATCACCTCCTTTTTCCCAGTTAGATATTGATGGGTCTGCTCTTAAACCATTAACTAAAAATATACCCTGCTAAGTCACAGTTCTTTCACTCAGCTCATTCATCTAAACATTATGTAAATGTTGCAACACTTCTCCTGTCACTGTCCTTTTAGAATGAATCACTTAATTTTTTTTTTTTTAAATACTTTGGATTAAAGTATCTGTAATCTAAATGTAAACGTATATACCACAAAAAAAAGCTTAAATGTCAAAGAGTATGTGCTATAAACTTCTTCTGTCCTGAACAAGACTGTAAAAACCTATTATAAACAACCTTTGAGTTCATGACTTCTCCAGTGTTTGGGTCAAAGCAAATGAGATTTTCAAGGGAGATATTTTTTTCCAAGTGAACAATGTGTTTTAGTCGTATTTCTGTACATTGTTTAACATGGTTTGTGAAGGATTTTAAACCCTCTGCTCTTTCTTTTCAGCATAAATCTCTACCAAACAATTGCCATATATGGTTATGCCTGGGTCCCACATAGCCTCTCTCTCTGTTCTTAAATATGTAACTCAAAGCTAAAAATGTCATCATTTTAAAATAAGCACACAGATTAATTAGGCTACCATTTTTCAGAAAATGGATTTTAACATATTACATCAATTGCTTTCCAGCTTTTAATATTGCACCCAAAAATTGTTTGTTTTAAACTATTGCACATGATTTCCATGATGTTGCTGTGTGTGCATATTGAATATCACAATATTCAATTAGATTAAGCTTATGCTTTTAGTTGAGAATTCGTCTCTCTGCTCTTCTCATGTCTTGTCTTTGTTTACATTGGCTCGTGCTCTTGTCCTGTTTTTCCAGCACTGACGTGGACTTGATAAAACGTTTTCCTTCATGCACTATGCAAATATAAGTTCGAAATTTTGCGAATTACGATGACATCGTCATTTCTGGCCTGGGTGAACTGTCCCTTTAAATGCATACCTGCAGGATTATTCCTGTGCGTGTTGTTGTCTTATTTTTGTTACACGACACATAGAAATCACAATTTATAACATTACAATGCTGGCATCTCACTTAATTTTGTAAATACAGTACAAAAATCATAACCTATAGTTTTCAAGCACTAAACGTCTCTCAAAGTAGGCTACAGATTCAGCATTTTTGTTTTTATAGCTGGTATGTCAACTTCAGGTCAGTGTTTGACTCTTTCCCCTGGTGTGACAATCCTCACAGTTCCTCCTCATGATACCAGCCAATGACAAGCAAGTGCTCTTGTATCTTCTACATGTAGCCTAATGTTTAAGCCAAATGCTGGACGGTTTTTGTTTCGGCTCTGGATTTTATACACACTTAATGAGTTGTTCTTAAAACTGCGCAGTGTGAATGAGAATGACAAAAATCGAAACCGAAAGAAACCAACTGATACCATCGCTGCAAATATGCTCTTCATTGCCATCCCGTTTCTTCTTGTAGCTTCATCATCGGCTTTTCCTACGGGTAAGTCTTTTATCCTGTTACACAGCATCCTTCCCAACTTATAATAGCCTGTATGTTTTGTTGCTCGTGGGTTTTTTTTTTTTCTTTCTATGTTTACTTTACTCGCTGACTCGCTGGATTATTGTCAAGCAATAAGCCGCCTCAGTCATGTGTTTTGTTGTTAGATACTGTAATCCAGTTCGAGCGCAGGGTGTTGGTGAACGGGACGATCGTGGAGAGGATCCTTGTCAGCTATAAGGAACAGTTCGACAACAAGCAACCTCTTGTCAGACCCATTCAAGATAAATTCCTGAAAACGATGGTGGAGAATGATCATCATCCAGCAAGTAAATAATATTAACGCAATGATGCATGTAGCTTATCATCAACCGATAACGTCCAGTTATTCTTTTTATCTCGAACCAATCAATATGCTTCAGTGTTTTGACGCAATAATTAAATAAATAATCAGTAGACTAAACTCCATAAATAATAAGCACAAGTGGATTATGAATATAACAATAAAATAATTACATCATAATGTAAAAATTCAACTAATAACTCTTTATTTTTATAGGCTATTATTCTTTATAAGTCGACTTTAATCTATTTTTTTTATTTTTATTTTTTACTTTGCAATTGACCTTCCCAATTAAAGCATTGTTAAACTAGCATAGGTCTACTCAAGCTTAAAGGGATACTTCAGGATTTAGCTTTAAAGGAGTAGTTCACTTTTAAAAAAAAACTTTTGCTGACAATTTACTGACCCCCATGTCATCCAAGATGTCCATGTATTTCTTTCTTCAGTCGAAAAGAATTAATTGTTTTCGATGAAAACATTACAGGATTTTTCTCCATATTTCAATAGACTCCAACTGTTTCAAGGTCCAAATGACAGTTTCAGTGCAGCTTCAAAGGGCTTTAAACGCTACCAAGCGATGAATAAGGGTCTTATCTAGCGAAACGATCGGTCATTTCAAAAATAAATAAAAAAGTTTAAGTTTTATAAGCTGTTCTGTGATGCCCGTTCGTGACTCTTCTGTTTGAACTCGTTCATCAAAATGAACAAATCTTTTTTTAAGTCATTTCGTTCATTCAACGAACGAAATGGAAATTAAATCCCCTTTTAAATACACATTAATCTTTCCAGATGTGAAGTATCCCTTTAAATTAATATTATATTATATTTGTCACTATTATTCTATTCTATGTATTTATGTCTAAAATAGGCATGTGCATTTTAGTGTCAATCACAAATTTTCATGCAACCACTCTGTGACAATAATTTCACCTTTATTTTTCAGGTTATGGCATATATACACGTTTGAGGGAATGCAAGATGCAAGGCTATCAGTGTAACGTACGGACAGAGACGGTCGGATCCATGTGCAGCACTTTATTAAAACAGGCAGACATGAAAACAGGCAAACACTTAAACAAAGGGGCAATCCGGAAACTCGTGGTCTAAACAGGCAATGATCGAGGCAGGCAGCACAGGTTCGAGAGCAGTCCAGGAAACAGGCAAGGGTCAAGAGTCCAGGGAAACACGGAGACACAGAACAGGGAATAACGCTCGGAATTGTACGCTTACAGGGTAACAAGACTTCGCAAGGGACACAGGGAAAACTCAGGCTTAAATAAGGAACTCAATAACCAATAATGAAACACAGCTGAACATAATGAAACACAAAGAGTCCATGGGGAAACAAACATGGGGAGAGGGTGCCCTCTAGTGGCTCTCGAGGGCACCACGGCTGCTGATCGTCACATAACCCCCCCTCTAAGGAGCGGCTTCCAGACGCTCCTAAGAGCTCCGGGGGGAGGTCGACGGGGGCTGGGATGGAGGGCCAGGCCCATGGAGAGGCAGGAGGCCAGGCACATGGAGAGGCCTGGGGCCGTGGAGCGTGGGTGACCAGGAAGGAGCAGGACGTGATGGCGGCCAGGGCGGAGCAGACACAGGCGAGGTCCATGACAGCCTCGCCTCCATGGCCCTCACGGACTCAGAGGTCCATGTCAGGATCACCTCCATGGCCCCCACAGAGTACCTACTGCCCCCCCCCAAAAAATACTTGGGGAAATTCACGGGAGGAGCCTCTGGGTGGTGAACTGGTACAGGAAAGGCCTCCCGGAGCTTGAAGGGTGCAGGCAGAGCGAGGCGCAGAGGCGGGGCCGGCAGAGCGAGGCGCAGAGGCGGGGCCGGCAGAGCGAGGCGCAGAGGCGGGGCCGGCAGGGCGAGGCGCAGAGGCGGGGCCGGCAGGGCGAGGCGCAGAGGCGGGGCCGGCAGGGCGAGGCGCAGAGGCGGGGCCGGCAGGGCGAGGCGCAGAGGCGGGGCCGGCAGGGCGAGGCGCAGAGGCGGGGCCGGCAGGGCGAGGCGCAGAGGCGGGGCCGGCAGGGCGAGGCGCAGAGGCGGGGCCGGCAGGGCGAGGCGCAGAGGCGGGGCCGGCAGGGCGAGGAGTCTGGGCACGCTCACCGGGGCCTGGCGAACCAAACGAGTCCTCCTTCTCCTCCTGCGGCGGCGCGTCACAGGGCTAGACACACTCGCTGGGCTGGACAACTCACTCACTTGAACTGGAGATGCAGCGCTCACTTGAAGAGGAGATGCAGCGCTCACTTGAAGAGGAGATGCAGCGCTCACTTGAAGAGGAGATGCAGCGCTCACTAGAAGAGGAGATTCAGCGCTCACTTGAAGAGGAGATTCAGCGCTCACTTGAAGAGGAGATTCAGCGCTCACTTGCAGAGGAGATTCAGCGCTCACTAGAAGAGGAGATTCAGCGCTCACTAGAAGAGGAGATTCAGCGCTCACTAGAAGAGGAGATTCAGCGCTCACTTGAAGAGGAGATTCAGCGCTCACTTGAAGAGGAGATTCAATTACTTGAACTGAAGACTCACTGGACAGACTGAATTCAACACTGGACACACTTGATTCACTCGGCTCAGCACTTGACTCACTTGACTCGGCACTCGATTCACTCAGCTCGGTATTTGACTCACTTGATTCACTCAGCTCGGCACTTGACTCACTCGAGTCGGCTGGCACGCGCTCAAACTCCGGTTCGACCCGCGACACCTCCGCTGTCTTAGAAACAGCACTTTTAACAGGGCCAGTGCGGGATACGGGCTCGAGGGGTCCGACATGATGAGTGGTTTTGGCAGGAACGATATGCTTAGAAGCGCCTCTGACGGTCCTTAAGGGAGGATCAAACAGTTTAGCGAGCTGAGGCTTATGCGGCGTGCGGAGTGAGTGAGAGAAATCCGCCGCATACGAACCTCCCCGGCGCAGGGAAAAGAGCAGTTCCTCGAGACCCTCCTTTTCTGCGGGGAGTTCAAAAGCCTTTCTGAACAGGGCGGTAAACACGTTGAAAGGAGGAAACGACATCCGACCTGGTTCCCAAAACGTGCCTGCCCACTCCAGAGCCTTTCCAGTCAACAGTGAGCAGATGAAAGAAACGCGGTCGGTATCCGAGGCGTATAACTGGGGCTGATGTTTCATATATAAACTGCACTGCTGAAGAAATCCTTCACACGCTCCAGGTGAGCCATTAAACTTTTCGGGAAACGGCGTACTGGAATTACTGCATGCGGTACTCACACAGGGTTGCGGTGGAACAGGTGCAGCGGGAGCTTGGGCTTGATTAGTGCTTGTGCTCTGCGGAGACCATGACTGCACGGAGCTTGCTAGTTCCTCGAGGAGAGAAGTTAGTCTCGCCAGCTGAGAACTATGAGAGGCTAGCATTGAAGCTCGGGTCTTGACCACGGCGGATAGATGCTGAAAGTCTGCTGGATCCTCGTTTGGCGAAGTCTTCTGTAACGTACGGACAGAGACGGTCGGATCCATGTGCAGCACTTTATTAAAACAGGCAGACATGAAAACAGGCAAACACTTAAACAAAGGGGCAATCCGGAAACTCGTGGTCTAAACAGGCAATGATCGAGGCAGGCAGCACAGGTTCGAGAGCAGTCCAGGAAACAGGCAAGGGTCAAGAGTCCAGGGAAACACGGAGACACAGAACAGGGAATAACGCTCGGAATTGTACGCTTACAGGGTAACAAGACTTCGCAAGGGACACAGGGAAAACTCAGGCTTAAATAAGGAACTCAATAACCAATAATGAAACACAGCTGAACATAATGAAACACAAAGAGTCCATGGGGAAACAAACATGGGGAGAGGGTGCCCTCTAGTGGCTCTCGAGGGCACCACGGCTGCTGATCGTCACAATCAGGTCCTGCAGCTTTACGACCGGTTTCAGCTCAATGGCCGAGATTGTCTGACTTTAGATCCTGAAACTGATACGTGGACCGTGGTGATGCCAGAGGCGCTGCATCTAAAGCAGTTATGGACGCTTCAGGGCGAGCACACAAGTCTAGAGAAAACTGACCTGAAAGAAGAATGTAAAGATTTCATCAAGCAGATGGATGACATCCAGAATCAAGAGGGTATGATGAATATTTGTTAGAATAATGTATGTCCTACTAATTAAAGCACCCATATTATGCTTTTTCGAATATTACCTTTCATGCAGTGAGTGATATAGCTGTAGTTTTAAAGATCAAAGTGTACAACAAATAAAGTGATTGCCTCCTAAATGAAAGAATCGATTCTGAACTGCTGAAAGTCGTCAGCAATTCCAATCTCACTTTCTGTTACATGCCTAGATAACAATGTCACAAATTTGCATAAAAACAGCCTAAAGGTCTTCATACTTTGACCTGTCCTCAGACCTTCAAAGCAAAATTAGGAACTTTAACCATAGCATAATAGAGGCACTTAAATAGTGTTTTTTCCACTAAACTAGAAAACCAGTTCTTATCAGAATCATGCACTTAAAGAATTTTAAAGAACTCTTTGTGCAAAAAAGGTTCTATATAAAGGAGAAATGTCTTAAATGATTGTGTAATACTTTCAGTTTAAGAGGGTTTTTTGTTTTGGTAATAAAGCAAGTGTATGATATGTTTAATTCACAAAATTAAATAAGGATTGAAAATGAATTAAAACTAAATTCATTAATTAACTAAATCACTATAGAACTTTTACCTATATCTTCCATTTTTACAGTACATTATCTACTTTTTACATTTTATATAATATTTTTTAATAAATAACAATATATAATATTATATATTTTTAGAAGATCAGATTATTAACTAAGAATATGGAGTTTATTGAATGTTTTTCAGGACATGTTGGTGTGTTAAGAGTGATGATTCCAGTTCTAGCCATTTCTCTCTTCATTGGATTCATCTTCATTAGCCTCCTCATCTCCAAACGACACAGTAAGCATACTGCTGAAATCATGTGATGTGTACTTGTGAATAAACACCACTGCAAACCAGTAAAGTCACTTCCAATGATTTTAAATACATGGATAAAAAATTAAATGATCACAATTAACATAAAATAATATTTTGTTTGTTCATCCTTTCTTTGCCTTGCTCTTCCTCTTTTGTTTGATGGAGGTCAACAGCCAGGAGGTGAGATGTTTCACATTGATGCTTAATTGCTGCTATATAAATGCAGAAGATTAAATATTGGCGTTGCTATAGCTGTCCCTGCCGTGGATTGGATGGCATTCAATGAACTAAGGTTCCCAGGCACCCATAGTTAATAAAAAGTGATTTCTTAATTCTTGCTTGGTTTAGAAATACTGAATATTCATTTATGTAATTCAGAACTATTTAAAGCTGCAGTCCGCAGTTTTTTCCTCTTTGTCGCCATCTCTGTTCGAAATCTGCAATTTTTAACCCCATAAAAACTACGGACTGCAGCTTTAAGGATGTATATTTGAAGAGTTCAGATGCAAAAGCCTCTAAATGCCATTTGAAATTTTCTTCTTTAATGATGATTTTTATCAAACTTGTATATTTAAGTTCAGTAATTTCACTTAAATAACAATTAATAGGTAATTTTCATTGTCATTTAAGTGAAATTACTGAACTTAAATATACAAGTTTGATAAAAATCATCATTAAAGAAGAAAATTTCAAATGGCATTTAGAGGCTTTTGCATCTGAACTCTTCATTTATATGTTAAATGTTTGTACATGCACTTTCACATGACAATGTTACAGTTTAATTAAAAAACTATTTTGTCAGCTAGCACAGATATGTTTTATGAGATGTGATTATGTAATAACATCTAAATTAGTATGTTTCATTGGAGTCAAATTAAAACATATCAACCTTATGACAAAATTGGAGGTTTCTGTCTGTCGGAGATCTCAAAGAGAGTAGAAACAATCCATGAGCAATAAACTTAACACATAGAGAAGTCTTTGAAGTCTTATATCTGAAAAGGTATTGCTTACATACATTACTATGAAAGATCAACACAGACAGATGGAGGTGGATATGCAAAAAAGGCCTACATTCATACCAGACAGGTGCATCAACTTTTTGTTGTTTTTGTTGTTGTTGCTGTTAGGCATATCAAATGTTGATGATTTCATTGCTTCCTTGTAGGTGTTTTAGGTTCATTAATCCACTATTCAGCCCACCAATTTGATGTACCATTGGACAAAGAAAGCTATGGAACATCTCCCAAGTTCCCATACTGAAGAGGGATTGTTAGCAAACACCTACCTAACCTCCCTGGCCACACTCTTTCTCTTGATTGTAAAAGGAGGCTGATTTGTAAGTTCAGTAGGTTACTTTTGATCCAACACTGTATATCCAGTATGGAAATGTTATTGCACGAAATGATCTTGAAAGCTAGCTATTACTATTATCGTGATAATATTGTATGCACAAATTGTTAAGGTTTTTGGACTGAGTAAACAATGGGTCTCATTCACTAAGCATGCGTACACACAAATTTGAGCGTGGAGTGCGTACGAACGATTTTAAGAACAAATCACGATTCACCCAAAAATTTAGTGATAAAATGTATTCTAAATGTATGGGAAAAATAGGATCAAAAGAGATAAAAAGTGCTTATTTTGAGAAATGGTGAGAATGGCACACTTGCCATTGCTTGAGGATCGGGCGAGAGAGCGCGTCTGCAAACACAGTTTGACGAAAGAGTGAGAAAAGGCTGTAAGGAAAGCGTTTGTGGAACCTTATATGGAGATGGTTTGGGCGTGTTTATGCAAATGACTAACCTTGTGCATACTACCACTCATTTAGAATACTCCGAATTCACTAACATGATAACGATTTTAAGAACAAATTCATGTGCGTATACGATTTAGGCAGAGATTTTTTGTGACAAGGGTACAAATACAAAATAACCCACGCAATTTTTAGTAAATGAGACTTAAGGCCAGATTTACTAAACGGGGCAAATTAGCACAGATGGGAGTGGATGCTGCCGGATAATTTCCAGAATGATCAACACAATCTACCAAGAGCAGCACAAATTAGCGTCTGGTTTAAAACATGCTTCTTTTGGAGCAGTAATTAATTAGTGGTGTAAATACCAGTAAATGATTCATTTAAATACTCTCCTCTCATAAATTTAGCAAAAATAACTGTGTCTACACCTTTTCAGCGCAAAAATTTTCCATTGCGTTTTTTAGCACCAAATGAGGGTTTGTGCTGGCGCAAGCTGTTAGTATATCTGGCCCCCAATGTCTTATGGTTATTTTTAATGTAGTTAGTTAGTTAAATGCAGCTAATTGATATGCTGCCCTTTACTACACAACAAAAAACTAATTCAATGTCTATAATGCAGCTGGCATTACAGACAATTATTTTGTTTTTGTTGACATTTTACATAGAAAATGTTTTATTTGTTTCAAATGTTGTGCTTATTACATTTTTCCTCATTGTGTAAAACTGCTGATATACCAAAATATTTTGTTGTATCTGACACTAGATGTAATTTTATTCTAAATACATGCAAAAAGACTAAAACAAGTAAATAACCAAATCAAACTATCTCATGGTCTCCTCTTTCATGGTCATTATTACTTTTTATTTTTAGTACATTTTTACTTTAATAAACAGTGTGTGTGTGTGTGTGTGTGTGTGTGCAGTCGGCCCGAGCCTTTTGGGGGCCCTAAGCAGAATAACACTTAAAACTTACCATCACGACCTATTGGTTTTCATTAAACCGAGAAAAATTGAATTTTCTTTTATTGACGATCACTGAGAAATGGTCTATTATTTAAAATGCAAAAAAAAAAAAAAAAAAAAAACATTTATTATTTTCAAGGTGAAAAGGATTCATTTGCCTGGATCCACGCCGAAGAAAACGTCTAAATGTCACATTTTTCAGACTGATCTCATGAAGTAGCAAATGCGTAGAGATGACACGCCACCTGACTCGAAAGTGGCGTATATGTTTATGCAAAAGTCATGATGTCATGTTGCATTTTTAATGAAGCAGCCTAAATAGTCCACTTTGCAAAATGTGTAGATGTCAGGTTTTCATTAAACCGAGAAAAATGGAATTTTGTTTTATTTACGATCACTGAGAAATGTTCTATTATTTAAAATGCAATATATATATATATATATTATTTTCAAGGTGAAAAGGATTCATTTGCCTGGATCCACCCCGAAGAAAACGTCTAAATGTCACGTTTTTAATGAAGCAGCCTAATGAGTAAAATGTCTATTTTTCCGGCGTCCCCCAGCTCCTCGTTTAAGCAAAAGGTACGCTAAAACAACGTATTACATCGACGTTAAGTAAGGGTTAATGCCCGACGAGGTGTCCATTGTCAGGTTTTAATGGACGACGGCGAGGCGTAAACCGGCCGACGCGCAGCGGAGGACGGTTGCCTCCGCCGAAGTCCATTAAAACCTGACAATGGACACCTCGGAGGGCATTAACCCGCTTATACCATGGTCACTTGCCAAATAAAACATTAGTTTATATTTTAATTAGGCTAAATCTAGTTTTTACAAATAATAACTTGCCTTGCCTGCCTGACTGTTTATTTAGCAACCGGATATATAGTCCGCTTAGCTCGTATCCCTTCAGTTTCACAAATGCATTTTTTTTTTTTCGATTCTGATTGGCTGCAGGGTGTCCGTTAAAAAGTGATAGAGGACACCTAGTAAAGTAGTTCTGGTGAAACTGCCTGTTTACCATTCGAAATGAATAAATAAATGCGCTGCCCACAACAGCTGTGAGTAACCATAGCAACAGCAATGTGCACGTGTTTCATATATGTGTGCGTGAATGAAGTTTGATTTAAGCCCTAGACGGCGCCTCATACCTAAGAAGCCTGTTTGATAAAATTTTTTATGTGTAATTAAAAAAAAAAAAACTATGCCTACCTTTGTGTTTCATAAAAAAAAAAATGCATTTTTGAACCTGAAGGGTTCTACAAGCTGAGCGACTATAAATATCTCTGGTTGCTAAATAAACCAGGCGAGTTCTTATTTGTAAAATTAAAATATAAACTAGCAGCTAATGTTTTAAAAAATGTTTTATTTGGCAAGTGACCTCCGCTCCGCGTCGGCCGGTTCACGCCTCGCCGTCGTCCATTAAAACCTGACAATGGACACCTCGTCGGGCATTAACGCTTACTTAACCGTGTTAACCATAACCTTTTAAATACTCGACCTAGTTCCATTGCTGAGCAACGGGAAGAAACTCCTGTAACTTCAGTGCCCAATCCGTATCACGACAAGACGTGAAATAATCACGTTGGTCCAATTTGGAAAACGTGTAGATGTCACGGTTTAGTTTAAACTCAGAACCATAAATGGGGCTATACTGCCCTCTTGTGTCAAATTATATTTCTATATTTATTTTTCCAACAAATAAAACTAAACCCGCAATAGATGCAGTGGCTCAGTTGATAAAGCGTTGGGCTTTAATCAAGAAGATCTGAGTTCAATTCCCATACTTGCGTTAAATTGTAGTGATTTTATTTAAAACAAGGTGGCCTAAACAATATTTCTTCAACCCGGTTTTTTACAGTCTATGATAGACGCATGACTTAAACGCAGGCAGACACAGCCACAGTTGTAACTTGTAGGCAGGTATTGATCATTAAATCAGAGTTTTCTTGTCTTGAATAATTCATTCAGTCATTTTCATTCATTCATTGATTTATGTCACTTGTTTAAGTAATCTAAAAAAAATAAAAATAAAAAATAACCCCGATTAGGGGGCCCCCTGGTGGTCGGTATATATATATATATATATATATATATATATATATATATACTATTTTTAAAAGAATATATTAAAATATTAATTAGCAATATATTGAAATATATTGTCATTTCTGTTCAGAGATTAGCGAATAAATGTTAAATAAATTATGTATAAATAAATGCATTTATTTTTCTTGGACTACACACACCTCCACTGACATTGGAAAAGCACAACAACATATTAATTTTCTGGGAAGATTAAAGAAAGAAAGTTTGCCTCAGAAACTTCTTGTGAAATTTTATCGATGTGCAGAGTGTATTGACATGCATCATATTCTGGTGAGCTGTAATAGTACAAGCAAGGAACAGAGGGCTCTACAACGAGTTAAAAAAAAAACTGCACACAGTTTTACCATCAATTGAGGACATTTATTTGTCCAGATATTGGAGCAGAACCTCCAAAATCTCCTCCCTGCTGGTAGGAGATACCATAGACAGTGGGGAGATACAGGACAATTACTCTTCTAAATAGCTGTGCAACTAATAAACACTTCTTGACTGGTTTCCATCTATAAATTATATTTGTAATTGCATTGCACACTTTAAACGGTCTGTTGCTTTTTACTGAAGGCCTACTAATTGTTTTCTTTAAACACTTTTAATTAGGGCTGTCAAACGATTAATCGCGATTAATCACATCCCCCCCCCCCCAAAAAAAGTTTGTGTTTACATAATATATGGGTGCACACTGTGTATAATTCTTTTATATAACTACACACACATGCTTGTGTATATATTTAAGAAATAGTTTTATGTATATACTGTATATAGATTTCTAAATAAATATTTTATATGTAAATAAAAAAATTCTTAAATATAAATGCATGTGTGTGTATTTAAATTTATTTATACATTATATTTTATTTATACAAAATAATTATACACAGTGCACCCACATACATTATGTAAACCCAAACTTTTATTTTGGATGCGATTAATCATTTGACAGCCCTACTTTTAATCTATATTGACATTATTATATGTATTGTTGTGCTTTTGTCTATACTTTGTGTTCTTTTTAATGCTGTTGTTTTCTGTGAATATTTGAGAAACTATACTTCTAACAAAAATTCGTTGTTTCACATAGCAGTTCAAATGTGCAATAAGGGCTTTAACTTAACTTAATATGCTAGTGTAATACTGTAGATTTACTATGATCGATCAATAAAAACCATCATAGCCTAAAGGGCATGCAGAATGATGAAATAATATCAACTGCATACTTTGAATTATTTGCAGCTAGGTCTTTAATGATTACACGGGTCTTAAATGCTTCATATAACAGTCGCAGTAAGCACTAACGGATTAATTACAGAAGGTACTGGTGAACTACACTCTTGGTCAAGAGAGACGGAATGTTGTCTTCTCAAATGGCCTGTTTTTTCTCAAATTGCATCACAGCCTTACTGGTAGTTTTTGTTTCTACCGGAAGGGTGTGCTGGTCGTAACGTTCTTGTTTATTTTCTTACAGTTATTAAAACGAGTTATCTATTGCTGTGTAACTTTAAAGTTATTGTACATTTTCAGATAAACATATATTGTGCTACTTCCACGACGTATATCTAACCTAATATCGTCTCTATTGTTTTTTGAGTATAGGAACGGTGTTACAAGATGTTACATCATGCGAGTTTCCACACGGATATTTTTATTGGCTGGACAGTAACAGCTCATACAGAAACAAAACCGTCTAGCAAAATCCGTCTATGAAATTCTGTTCGCATTGGCTTCTGCATAGGTTTTCTTTTCAGTATTGTTATTTGAAGAGTTACACGGGAGGATGGGAGTGCCTAAATTTTATCGATGGATATCGGAGCGGTATCCGTGTCTGAGTGAAGTTGTCAAGGAGCATCAGGTGAGCTAGTTTGGCTAAATATAACAGGCCGCATAGAGATCATTTACAGCTGTGTGACCAGAAGATCAAACCTGGCACAAAGACCTTAGTTTTACTGTCCCTCCTCCATACATATGTTACGTGTAGAGGAAATTTTATCTTTATGTTTTATCGGCATTGTATGATGTACACTATGATGGTTGTGTCTTTAAATCTAATGAGCTGTGCTGTTGTCAATACAGTAATTTAAGTATCGTAGGCGCTTTCGAACGAGCTACAAAATGCTAAACATTCAGCTAGCTGTGATGAGGAGTTGCAGGTGTAAGTGATTCAAGTTCCCAGTCTGCAACATTTCTGGACCTTTTTCGGAACGCCCATTTGAAACCCAAATTTGCTCCCTAGTATATTGGGAGCTCAATAGGTTTTGAAACTCGGCCTGTATTCTGCTAGTTACTGACAAACAGCAATTGTTTTGTAATCTAATGCATTCATAATTTTGCATTTAATGTGGCTAAAATTATAGCGGATTTGGGGACTTGTGACGTATTGGACTATATATATATATATATATATATATATATATATCAGTGTTTATATATAGCTACTATTATACGTCAGTGTTCATTTTCAAAATGTATTACTTATTTTTAGTTTTCATTTTTTATATTATTTTATATTATTATAAAATATTATATTTTTTATATATTATATTTTTTATATGCTTTTGTAATTTGTTTATTTTTAATTTTATATATAGCTTTAAGTAATAATTTTTTTCTTAAGTTTTAGTAAGTTTAGAATTTCAGCTTAATTCAACTTAGGTTCTTTTATTTTATTTTACTTGTCAAAAAAAAATTTGTTGAAATAAATAAATAATCATAAAAAAAATATTTGTTTTTGTTTTAATTAACGGTTGAATTTATACTAATCTAATGATGTTAGTCATGTTTGGTCAAGTTTACACCAGCCAACTCATGTTCTCTCCCTTATCACAGATCCCAGAGTTTGACAACTTATATTTAGATATGAATGGGATCATCCACCAGTGTTCCCACCCCAATGATGAAGATGTACACTTCCGTATTTCTGAAGAAAAAATATTCGCTGACATATTTCACTACCTGGAGGTACTCTTTCGCATCATTAAGCCCAGGAAAGTGTTCTTCATGGCTGTCGATGGAGTCGCACCCAGAGCCAAGATGAACCAGCAGCGTGGGAGAAGATTCAGGTACAGCAAAATCATAAGCAAAGCATGTGAGGTTCGCTCAATATTCTGCTCTAAGCCAATGCCCTTCGCTCAATAGCTCGCAGTCCAAGCCCACGCTCACTGGTGAAATAATGTCTGCACAAATCCCACTCTGACATGAATTTTGTCTGTACTAGGTCTTTCTGTTTAAGTAATGAATTTCTTGAATACATGTCTCAATTACAGAAGGCTTACAGATAAGTGACATGATAAAATGCAGAGCTTGTGCAAACATAATCCACATTGACCTTCACATGATCAGATGCTTTTTTAAAGGGATTGTTCACCCAAAAATCAAAATGATAATTTACTCACCCTCATGTCATTCATTCCAGACCCGTTAGACTTTCGTTTATCTTCGAAACACAAATGAAGATATTTTTATGAAATCTGAGACCTTTCTTTCCCTCCATCGACATCTGCGCAACTGCCGTTTTTTCAGCTTCAAAAAGTTCATAAAGACATCATAAAGCTAATCCATATCATTCGAGCAGTTTAGTCCAAGTTTTCTGATGGAATTTGATCTCTTTATATGACAAACAGATTGAATTTATGCTTTAATTCGCATCTAAACATTGATCAGTGAACATAAACAGAATTTTTATGTTAAAAAAGGCCTAAATTCAATCTGTTCATCATATAAAGTGATCGAGTCTCTTCAGAAAATTTGGACTAAATCACTCAATTCATATGGATTAGTTTTACAATCTCAAGCATCAAAGTGTTAGTTGTGTAGCTGCCATTGGAGGGACAGAAATATCTCAATTTCATCTAAAAGATCTTCATTGTGTTTCAAAGTGAAAGTCTTACAGGTTTGAAACAGCATGAGAGTGATTAAATGATGACAGAATTTTTATTTTTGGGGTGAACTAACCCTGTAATTGTTGTTTTCTCACCGCTGTCACTTTTGTTGCATGGTTTTTGTTATTGAGAGAAAAAGCATGGAGCACACATTTACATTTACATCTAAACATGACACTTGCTCGCATGACTTCTTTTTCCCCTAATCGAAGAACAAAAAAGAACTTTGCTACAGTATATCAGCAAGCAGAGGGAATACAAACGCTCTGAAAGACCTTTATAATTTGAAAAAAAGATTTCTATTTCAAATAAGAGTTGTTTTATAAGCTATATTATAATAAGATGTGTTGCTTGAGCACAGAATCAGCATGAAAATTAATGTGTGAAAATGTAAAAACTTTTGTCTGTGTTTTAAAGGTCAGCGAAAGAAGCCGAGGATAAAATAAAGAAGGCCTTGGAAAAGGGTGAAGTTTTGCCCACAGAGGCCAGATTTGACTCTAACTGCATCACTCCTGGTGCGTGTGCATTTTTGTCACTCATGTTGTTGTGTTATACATATTTTTATCGCTCTCATATACCATTTATTTGTCTATCTTTGTATGGGAGGATACTTAAGAAACTTAAAGGGATAAAATCAAGAAGATTAAGATCTAAATGTTATGTTGTGTTGGCTTTGAGATATGAATGGGTTGGTCTGGTGTTTTGTTATGGGAGGTCCACTGGTGGGCCCTGATCTATAATGTTCTGAGAGATCTGTTTCTCTTGCTTGACCACTGTAGGAACGGATTTCATGGCCAGGCTACAGGAACAGCTTAAATATTTTGTTCACAGCAAACTGTCCACAGACAAATCATGGAAGGGAGTGAATGTGTATTTGTCTGGTCATGAGGTGAGTCACAAGACTTCAGAGCTTTGTGTCGTGTGTGTGTTTCTGTGAAGTTTTTCTGATTCCCGTTTCATCACAGACCCCTGGTGAAGGAGAGCACAAGATCATGGAGTTCATTCGCTCTGAGAGCTCCAAACCGGGTCATAACCCAAACACAAGACACTGCCTTTATGGTCTGGATGCTGACCTTGTGAGTACAGTTGTGTATAATAGAGAGAATTCAGCCATAATCATAACGATTTTGTTTGTATTGATTTTAAACTGTTTTTTTTTTGTAGATAATGCTTGGCTTGACCAGCCACGAGCCTCATTTTTCTCTCCTCAGAGAGGAGGTACGCTTCGGAGGCAAAAAGGCACAAAAGAGGTATGTGTGGTGGCATTATTTTCACTGTGTCAAGATGAAAGTTTATTGTGTTCCTTATGAGTTTTTCTGGTCTGTAGGATAACAGCTCCCGAGGAGACAACCTTTCACCTGCTCCATCTATCCCTTATGAGGGAATACATTGACTATGAGTTTTCAGAGCTCAGGGTGAGAATATATCTAACTCACAAATCATGCCAAAACAAAGCTAAATGATTATGACAAGTCCTTGTAAACAGCATACTGCCCCAGTTGGCAAGATGTCAAGTGTAATATGCGGTGAAAATGACTTGCATTACTCTGAATCATGTCATCATTTTATGCATGCATGTGTTTCCACCAGAATAAGATCTCGTTTGAGTATGACCTGGAGCGGATCATAGATGACTGGGTTTTGATGGGGTTCCTGGTGGGGAATGACTTCATCCCTCATCTTCCTCACTTGCACATCAATCACGATGCTCTGCCGCTGCTCTATCGAACTTACATCAGTGTGCTGCCCAGTCTGGGGGGTGAGTCAGTCCACCAGCCAATCACAGAGCATGCGGCTTTGTTATGGTACTGTAATACTGAAATAGTGCTGATCATTGTCGTCTCCATCAGGCTACCTGAATGAAAACGGTCATCTCAACCTTACCCACTTTGAGAAGTACCTCGAGAAGTTGTCAGAGGTGTGTGTTTGGTATTTTTTCCACAAAAATGTCAATGCATTATCAGTAATGCACACCCAGTATTGTTTTGACAGTGCAATGTTACTCCGTGTTTCTCGTTATTCATATTTTTTATTTGTAAAACATACTGTACGACGATCATAAAATCAAGAAGTTACAATCCAATCTGTTTAATTTAGAGATTTATTTTTAATTAATTTTCAAATTTAAATTTTGATATATAGGCTTTATATCGGCATCAAAAAAAACTAAATCTGTCCACCACTAGTTTAGTGACTGTTTTGACAGCTGATTGTTTAATGCAATACTGTGTTTTAAATTGTGTAAATAGACAAGTCCATTATAGACTTGTTATAGTCTTTATATTCTCGACATTACATCTCAAAATTAAGACGACTGTGGATCGTGATTGTTTGTTATAATTTTTGGAAGATTTCACACCCCTAGTTCAAATGTTTGGTGTCTAATGTATGCTAAACAGATGCATATTATAAGTGAACAACAGGATTTAATATTTTTCACTTCATTTAGTTATAAACAGTATGAAAAACATGCCTTGCTAATTTTCAATGAGATGTTTTTTTCAATATTTAGAATTTTCAGTGTAGTAGATTACAGTAACTTACATTAAACTAAAAATAAAAATAAAAAAACAGCTATTTCAGTTTTATCGAATATCATTGAAAGTCATTTACATTTTATGTGTTACCCACCCTATGTTGTACCACACTAGTATACTGTGTTTTATTGTGCTTTACTACACTATACTTACTGTAGTAGACTGCATTATACTGCACTGTATTCCACTCTGTTAGGGAACACAGCTAAACCTCATAAAGATACCAATATGCTGAAAAGTTAAAGTTCAAAAAGTTGAGAGAGTTTACTGAAGACAAAGTTCTCCATACTTCCAATGCCCGTGGAAATGAGTAAGAGGATCCAACCTTGGATAATCAGTTAACTATAAATATAATATAATATAATACAGGTTCTGATTGATTAGCAATTCAGATCATTCTATCATCTTATGAACATGGTTTTCAGTTCTTTATGCTAATGTGGACATTATCTTTAACACGCTATGCTCTACATTTGTAGGTGACTAATGTGGGTCAGACCCTCGGTCACCTCTCAGATCCCAAATACAGACATCGCCTGCCACATTAACAGCAGACTAGATGCATCGGATTAAAGACCAAACTATTATTGCATAGTATTAATATAAAAAAATAGGAGGGGTAAATCCAGCATTGGCAAGTCATATATGTAAATCCAAGGGTTGTAAATCCACCCCTTCAGCTCTAATTCCATGTCATTATCCTCTTCTCTGTTCTCAGTTTGATCGTGAGCACTTCAGTGAGGTGTTCGTGGATCTGAAGTGGTTTGAAAGTAAGGTGGGGAACAAATACCTGAATGAAGCGGCCGGGCTGGCTGCCGAGGAGGCTGATGTCAAAGCCTTGAAGAAGAGAAAGGTGAATATTAGCAGCATGCAGCCAGACGGATGACTTTTTTTATTCCTCTCATATCAGTCAAATTTTCAGGCACTGCCAACACACATTTCAGTACATGAAACTATCAACTTGAAAAATTGCATATGACCCCTTTAATTAATTAGTGCTAACTGCTCCTTTCATATTGTGTAGCTCTCTAGTTGATCCTTAATAACCATTTTTAATATTTGGTGACCTTTTACAATACGGTTCTATTTGCTAACATAAGTTAACTACATTAGTCAACATTAAAAATGATTTAATTAATTGCATTATTAGTTACTCATTTCAGCAAATACTAATGCTTTGTTAAAAACAAGTGTTTGTTCTTTTGTTTTTAGTCTTCAGACGACTCTCTCTGTCTTTCCGCTCTTGATGGAGTCAGAGAATCTCACAGCACTCCAGGAAGAGGTACACAAACCACACCCCAAATTCATAGTTACTCTTGATAATTGGTCTAGATACTTGCTAGCACTTTATTTTATAGTCCTGTGTATGGACTTACTGTAATAGGATATGCTTGCAGACATTTAAACACAGCATTTTAAAGCATTGAGCTTCTAAATAAGGCTTAATATTTCCCATAATGCACTAGAAGGGGCAGAGGAGGATGGTGAGGATGATGACATGTTTGAAACAGAGTTTCGACAGTATAAGCGCACCTACTACATGACCAAGATGGGTGTTGAAGTTGTCTCAGAGTGAGTCTCCATTTACTTTAAATTTGGAAAGGATGGAAGAGGTATGATGTCTCTGTGCATTTGAAAATGAATGGTTCTGAAAAGTGTAATTTTGTCTGTGTTAATCTTGCAGTGAATTTTTGGCCAATCAGGCTAAATGTTACGTGGAGGGAATCCAGTGGATCTTGCATTACTACTACCATGGAGTTCAGTCTTGGAGCTGGTAAGCTAAGAGATTGATAAAATGATAAAATTGATTCATACAGTCCTACTTAAGGGAACATGTACTGTATATGTCGGCATGAACTTTCAAGATAGTCAAGAAAGTTCAGATAGTCTATTCTTTCCTGTTGTGATGTATATCCCAATGAAAGGGTTTCCTGAACAAGCAAAATATAGCGTGGGACTTGATTTTGTCCATTGGGAACTAATTGGATGGTTGTGGTTTTCTATTGGTGGATCTTTAATGTGAGTGGCAGGTTGCCCCGCCCTCACGCCAGTTAACGCATCATCAAAGAAGAGAAGGGATCACGCTGCATGAGGGAGAGGAAGTTATTTTGAACTTGTGCTCCTCTCGTATCACTACAGGTATTATCCGTACCACTACGCTCCCTTCCTTTCTGATGTGAGAAACATCTCTGGTCTCACATTGACCTTTGATCTGGCCAAACCCTTCTTGCCATTCGAGCAGCTCTTGGGCGTCCTGCCATCAGCCAGCAAAGACCTTCTTCCACAGGGTTACCAGGTGACACACTTCACGTCCTCATCACATTGATGTTTGTTTGAAACTTATCGTCATTCGCTGACAGTATGTCCTTCACAGCATCTGATGACATCACTGAGCTCACCCATTGTTGAGTATTACCCACAAGACTTCAAAACGGACCTGAATGGCAAGCAGCAGGAGTGGGAGGCCGTGGTGCTCATCCCGTTTATCGACGAGGTGCTTTAAACATCTGCATTTACTATGTATCTTGCCATAACATCTGTGTTGTAAGTGCACTTTCACGATACGTATGTGTTTGCTTTCAGAAATGCTTATTAGCTGCTATGGAGCCCTATTCAGATAAACTGACTCCATCGGAGAAGGCCAGGAACAGACATACTGAGTGTGCCGTCTACTGCTTTGATAAAGAGCTGGACTATTCTTATAGCTCCTCACTGCCGGAACTCTTCCCCAACATAGTTCACTGCCATGTCAGGTATGTCCTGTCACCCACTCTGATGCTGATGTTGATGTCACATTTTTTTACACTTGATACTTTATAACTAACATATATTTTAATTGTTATTTATTATTATTTCACTCCTTTTGAATTAGTTTACGTTTGATCGTTTTCAAATTAATAGATACATTCACTAATTTGTTAGATTCTATTGATTTATTTTTGATGATGTTGATAATACTTATAATAAAAGTATGCATTCATTTTAAAATGGTGTCGCACTTGTATTTACATTTACACTACAATTAACAGATACATTATTATTTCTAATTATTATGTATTTATTACTGATAATAGTTCAAATAAAGTATGCGTTCATTTTGATGTTGCACTATTGTACTGTATTTACATTTACTCTTAACTTTACAATTGACAGATAAATTCTAATAGTTGTTTATTTTTGTTAATAATAATACCTCATGCCTTCATTTTTATTTGGTGTCACACTTTTGTATTAACTTTAATAGTTTACACAGTACAATTAGCAAAATAAATAGTTCCTATTTAGTTTTTTTTTAAATCATTGTTAATAATAGTGATACAAATAATAGAAATATTAATAATAATAAAAATAAATGCATTACCGTAATATGATTTTACTCCAGTTAAGACATCCTGGTGAAGTCACCATCAATTCACTCTGAACAATATCGACACTTGACGTATTTATTTGTTATCTTTTGGAAATCTCATCCACTGTGTTTGTGTTTTAGGCAAACACCAATCCCGATGGACGCTTGGCGTGTACCTCTGGATCACGTAGGGCGCAGGATTGACAGAGGAGCGCTTTACTTCTGCGGCTTCCCCACCCTACAGCACATCCATCATAAAGTAAACAATCCTCAACCCCTCTGTCTGCAGCACTTATTATCTCAATAAAGGGATCATTTTCAGGTCATCACAGGTTTAATGCATATGTCCTGCTGTATTTTTCACAGTTTTATAAGAAGAAGAGTGGGGTATTGGTGTTTCAACAAAGCAGCAGAGGAGAGAACATGATTCTGGAGATTTTAGCAAGCCAGGAGATGGAGCAGGTGGGCAGTTTGTCCCCTCAGACTTCTAGTCCTGATTTTGTTCAATTTTAATCGGACTGTCTCAGACACTGAACTACATTTTAAAGTTATGTTATTTCATAGTTATGGTAATGTGGTATGCCATATGTGTGTTTTTCTTTATTGCAGGTGGAAGATGTTTCAGCACTGGTTCTTGGAAAGTCTTTGTTTGTGAACTGGCCCCATTTGATGGAAGCTCGAGTTGTAGCTGTTTCAGATGGAGAAACAAAGTAAGTTTGTTTGTTGTGTTGCTATTTAAAGATTATATGCTGTCAGATAAAGCTAACTCAAACCCTCCTAGTCCGTTAAGAGTTTGTCCCTCTTGGTCTGCAGGTTTTCTTTAGATGAGCCCTCAGGATCACAGGTGTTGTATCGGGATAACACTGTACCGCCTATTAAAGTGACCCATTTGACTGATAAAGAACAGAAGGAGTGGGTCAAAGAAGTGCAAGGCCTCTCAGAGCAGTATGCGGCCCCTTTTATTTTCATTATTTGTCATTTGTAATAAGTTTATCAACAAAAATAAACTATATTGCATAAGGTATAAAACCGATTCATTCACTGATCATCTGATGTACTACTGATCCAATTGGCACAAATATTGTACCTAATTTAGCTTTCATAAATAATTAATATGAAATACGTTAGTTCAGACAGACATTCTAATCTTAAAGTCTCTGTTTTTTTTTTTAAAGCACTGTTGGATACTAGTGCAGCAAATATATTTATTTTTCTTCAAGTTATTGATGGTTGCTGTGGTCATGACAATCTCTTGCTGTCTTTGTATAAGCTACAAAGTAGAACACAATGTATGCCCGTAGTCAAAATTCTGTCTCTGATAACTATACTGTATAAACTAATATTTTTCAGTAACAATATTAGCTTTGCATGTTCAGAGTCTTAGAAACATTTGCATGTTTTAGTTCTGTCAGGTTGAGTGTGTATGTAGTGTCCATATGTAAAATATCTCTGCGTCTGGTTTGCAGCTTCAATAGACGTAAAGGCATTGTGATCAAAGAGACTGAGGTGGTGGTTTACGCCCAGCTGCTGACAGGCAGGAAGTATGTCATTGGTGAGAACGGAACAGTCCATTTGGAGAAGCAGTTTGCCAAACAGGTCCTGCCCTTTCCATACCAGACAATTGTGAAGGTAAATATTCACTCCAGCCCAAAAATATACAGTAAATATACTAGTCTGTGATCACATGTTAGGGAGGGGGACTGTTGGAAAAGGAGAAGAATAAGTTAAATAAACTTGTAAAGATGGCAGTCTCTGTCGTGGGGAGTGTTACCCAATTATGCAGGATAAAATGATTGGGAAACTTTCTCTTATAATTAATCATGACTGGCATCCTCTTAATTAAATATCTCAAGCTTTTGTGAGTAATCAAAGCTCAAGATTAATTTATCCACGCTGCTGCAAAATATTTTTTCACAAGTGCAGTTAGATTTTATAATCAGTGTTATATAAGATGATACAGATGATGGTGGTCATATATAATCATAGTCATAATGCTTTGAAAAATTGATATTTGAGAACAAGACTTCTTGTTGTTGTGTATCTTGATGTTTATTTATTTATTGTATTTTGTGCTGATATGACATATTAATTTCCCCTGGGGGATTAATAAAGTAAATCAAATCAAAGCCAAATCAAATATATATTTTTATACTCACCAGTTCATTTGATCAAAATGGGAAATAATAAAAAAAATGTAATAATCCTATTAATCAGCTTTGCCATGACCGAATTAAATTACATTTTTACAAATATTACAATTGAAAACAGGTATTTTAAATTATAATAACATTTCAAAATTGCAAATTTGATCAAATAAATGCAGCCTTTGTGATCTCTCATGGCCTATAGTATCTGTCTTGATGGGTTTTTTATTTTTTTTTGCACTTTAGGATATCAAAACCTTTGATTCGTCATTGGCGCGCTTCAAAACACTGGAGGAGCTGTTTCCCCTTGGAACCACTGTCTTTATGGTTGGAAATCCATATTACGGTGCAATGGGAGATGTAAGTACAGTTTTTTTGTGCTCTCTAGTCCAGACTCCAATAGTTAAATGCCACAAATGAAGGACGTTTTGTTTGCTTAGGTGCAAGATTCTAGTGATGTCATCAGTGAGGGACGAGTCAGAGTGGTCTTCTCTGTACCATGTGAACCTCAACTTGATGCCTTAATACAGAACCAGCATGTAAGTGTTGAGTCTGTCAAGATTACACACACTCCACTATACTCTATTCTGACTGAATCATGTTGTTCTTTAGCTTATTTATATATTTAATACGGAACTTTGGTCTAGGTCTTCGTACTGCTTTTATTTTCAGAATTTGCCAATAGTCTTTTGTTTTCATTCAGAAATACTCAGTGAAGTACTGTCCTGGGTATGTTCTTGCCTCTCGCCTTGGTATCACCAGCTACCTCGTCTCAAGGTTCTCCGGTAGCATCTTCATCGGACGAGGATCCAAAAAAAAGTCAGTGGAATTCAAGTTTTGAAAAACTTGGTAGTTTATATTTTATTTAATTCAGAATTTCAATTTACTTTGAAAAAGGATCCAAATCTTTAACCAATTATAGATCCTTGGTTAATATTTAATCTCTGCTTAATTTGTTAAGCAATTTTAGTAAAAAAAAATAAAAAGCATCTGGGATTAGTTATCCATCTAAAATTGATAAATTTAATAGGCACACACTCACACAATTTTGGACATTTAATTGTGAAGCCCATTTCCCTTATTTTTTACAAAGGTGACCACTGATTTAATAACACTGTTAAATGTAATCTTTAGCAGATCTCAAAATGATTATACATTTTTCACATTCTATATATAACAACGTATGATGTCTATATTGATTTTGAGTTGCAACATTTGAAAGATTTTAGTTTTAAGTATTTGATTTTTATTATTTAGTTCTTCAATGGCATACAATTACAAAATCAGTCATTTTATTGGTTATCGATCACAATTTTAATATCTATCCACATCATTTTATTTTCGTTATTTAATTAACAATATAATAGTGTAGTCTAAAAATGAATAGCTTTTGAATGGATTTTGCACTTTTCAGTCCTCATGGAGAGCAGAAAGTCAATGTGGGCCTTAATCTCAAGTTCAACAAGAAGAATGAGGAAGTTCCTGGCTATACCAAGAGGACAGAGAAGGAGTGGCTCTACTCTGCTGCTGTTGAAGATCTCTTGGCTGAATACTTAGAGAGGTGTGTATGCATATTTAAGGCCGTGCGTGTGTGTGCCTGTGGTTGCACCTGGTTTTGTGTGAATATTTTAACAATTTCTTGTCTTTGTATCTCAGATTTTCAGAGGTGTTTGACTTCATTGCACGAAACAGTCATGATGACGTCTTTTACGAAGATGACATCTGGCCTGGAGTGGATGAGAATGGGTGGGTTTTTTGTGCATTTTATACAAGCAGTAGTGCATTTTCAGAATGCCAGACTTGGCGGTGACTGTATCATTTGTGATTCTTTGAATGAAAAGGGCTGAGAAGATCCAGGAGATCCAGGGCTGGTTGAAAACCCATCCGGTCAGCTCCACCTCCCGAGCGTCATGTGATCTGCAGATCCTGGACAGCGGCATCATAGAGAAGATTGAGGAGGAGCTGGATAAAACGAAGGTGAGGATCACATTTAGACCTCTAGAACCTCAACAATCACTGTTGTTGTTCCTGTCCTTATGTTGTTGTGTTGATTTCTCTGGGTGACAGGCAAAGAAGATGAACAAGAAAGTGCGTGTCACCGTGAAGCCCCATCTGCTTTTTAGGGTATGTGTGTCACTGTATACATGTTTGATATTTTTGACGCGTCTATGATGTCTGTATACATGTATGATGAATGTGGAATCAATATGTAATGTATATGACACAAATGTCAATTAAATCAAACATTGGAATATATTGTTATAAGCATGAACTGCAACAATATAGCAGTTTGTGCCTAAAATAGCTAATAGTGAAGTGAATAAGGTAATATGTATGTTCGTGTATTTTGTGTGTACCTACTTAACCATATTTTGGGGACAATTTTACCCGGAAGTGAGCTAAACCTGACAACTTATTTTTTGTTAGGTTTAGGGTGTGGATTAGAATTAGGTAATTATTGGTTATAGTATTCATAATTAGCTGTATATAAAAACAATAGAACTCTATGGAATGTCCACATTTAGATATACAAGTAAACGTGTGTGTGTGTGTGTGTGTGTGTGTGTAGCCTCTGGAGCAGCAGTTTGGTGTTATTCCAGATCCTGATGCAGAGTATCATCTGTTTGACCGTGTGGTTAATGTGAGAGAGAGCTTCTCTGTCCCTCTTGGCCTTCGGGGAACTGTCATTGGTATCAAAGGAGGTAAAAATCGACACAAATTTCTCTGGCATCCTTCTGCATATGTTTTTTTTTTTTTCATTCTTTTTTTCTGGTCCATCAGCTGAACGCGAGGCTGAAGTTTTGTATGAAGTGCTGTTTGATGAGGAGTTTGCTGGAGGACTCACTATCAGGTATAGAGGTTATTGCACTGAATGGACAATACAAATTAAAAAAAAATATTCTTTATATAATGCGTACACGTAGTCTACTGTCCAAAAGTTTGGGGTTAGTAAGAAAGTGTTTTTATTCAGCATGGCCACGTTAATTTGTTAGACAGTTTAAAACAAAAGCATTCATCTGAAATCCTTTGTAACACTGTATTTAACTTTACTGCCACTTTTTATCAAATAATTCAATGTCAAAAAATATTAAGCAGCACAACAGCTGGAGACCAGAGGAGTCTAGAGCAATGGCTGATAAAAATTGTATTGAATCATAGGCCCTGTACACACCTGGTATAAATATGCGTTTTGATTGATCGGATCACAAGTGGACTATGCTAAATACAGGCGTAAACTGAGGGTAAAATGTTTTGAGCTTGACTACTTTTAACAACTTCCAGAGGTAGTTGAAATGAAAACACATTAGTCTTGATTGCTTTCGTAGTGTAAATGCTCATGTGGTCAAATGCTTACTCTCCGCCTAATGACCTAACGTGTAAACATGGGAAGCGCAATAGCCAGATGGTATTTTAACCTTGTTGGCTGGAGACCCAAGTTTGGTTTGAAGACGAAAACTTGCCAAGCACAATGTTCTCTCACAGCATTCATGTGGTCCGGTACCTGTCAGATGAAATGAAAGCTGCTGGTCTATTTTTCTGTTGTCTACATGCACGTTCATATATAAATTACACAAGCTTATTTTGTCTATTAGATCGAAAGATCTAAAAAAGTCCATACGTTTAACAACCACCCATAAACCAAAAGTGGACACAAGAGACGGATTAAGACATCAGCAGTAAAAGGGAATGTGTCTTCCTCGTCTACTTGTGATCTGGTTGACCAAAATGCATTTTAATACCAGATGTAAACAAGAGTACAGCTCTTTAAATGGAGAAATATCAAGTTTTTATTTAAGCCTACGAATAAAATTCCAATTACAAATCGCCAATGAAATCTGACAACAACTCTCATACATGTTGTTTCTAAACACTCAAATCATGACAACCTGAAATTTTCAGGGTCGACCAGCCAATGCGCACATGCATTCATAAGTGTGTATCTCAGAAAAGCATCCACAGTGACACAATGACTACCAACTGGCGATTGGCTCTTTTATTACGCAGTGTTGCACTTTCTCCCATTCATAGTAATCTGAGCTCTCGGTCTTCGTACATCTAAAGGCTTTGACTGAATGTGTGCTCTGTGTGTAGGTGCTCTCCTAGTCGTGGCTATCGACTGCCTCCCAGTGCCTTAATCAACCTGAGTCATGGCAGCAGGAAGGAGCAGGGCTCACACAAACTCACGGCCATCGTCAAACCCCAGCCCTCGTCCTCATCTCACGTCACACACAAGAGTCAGATGGGTGGCCTTAACCACTCGCCACGCTCACCGTTTATTCCCACGCAGGTAATGGCCAAACCTCCGCTAGTGAATAGGCCACTTCAGATTAACTAATAGATTTTTAATGGGTGAAGATCTTACTTTATGCTCCTTGTGCCCGGGGCAAATATCTATGAAGCATGTTTTTAACTCCTCCTGGTCTTAATATTAAGGTGTAATTATATTAGTCAGTAGAAATCTGTGCAGTTCCAACAGGTTCCTCTTCAACAATGCAAAGAGAAGTATGCTGTTCAAATGAGATGGTCTGACTGTGTTGAATTTCCTATTGACAGCAGCAGAATGGCCGACAAAGTTTCAATCTCAGGACTGACTCTCAGGGCAACAGAAACTCTCCTCACAAAGGCCTAAACCAGAAAAACCAACACAAGGTATGAAGGGTGTGAGGGCTGTCCGCTCTGGGGATTGTCCGTAATACATGATAACATCGTTGCTCGTGTGTTCCTGTAGGGTTCTGGTAATGAGAAGGAATTCAGTAATGTATGGCAGTCTCTTCAGAGTTCAGGAATGCCCCAGAAACCACCAGCTCACTGGCAAAATAATGTATGTACTTTCTCTTACTCTGTGTGCATGTTTGTGATCAGTGTTATCGTTAACTACAACTAAAAATGCTAAAACACATTTATGTTACTTGAAATAAATTAACAGAAATAAAATAGAATATAGAAAAACAAACTTGTTCGGAACCTTTTCATAGTTCTTAGAACTAATGATGGAAAAACCCTCTTTTTGCCGTGTTCGCACCGCAGGAACTTGGAACGATTTTAGTTAAAGGAATATTTTTTGGGGGGGTCTAACCCAGCACAATAGGCACTACCAGTGAAATAAGTGTACGCTGATTGGCTGAACGCATGTGGAACACCAGCATCTGCCATTTAGAGATTATACAGATTATAGCCTCATTAATACACAAACTGACTCTACGAGCATGGAAAACAGTGATAGATGGGCCTTTCAACCTTTATGCTGAGGAGAAAATTCAACACATCTTTGAGGCGACCAAGCGAAACACAATTGTGTATTCCTGCTCAGCTAGCAACACTGGACCTCAACCACACAGCAAATGCTAATACTTTTTCATAAACTCTACTTTCTTTGTTTAACAGTATCTAATAACGTATTAGACAGGACTGTTAAACAGATCATGAAATAATGGAGAATAAGGGGCGATGTTTGCTCAGGCTCTGTTGTTCTAAGAGCCATCAAAATAAATGTCCACCGCACCGCCAAATTAAAAGTCACAACAACAAGTGCAACTTATGTCCGTCTGTGTGAATGCAACCAGCAAAATGGCCCTTGGGGAACATTCAGTTTTTAGGGAACCACACTGGTGGCTAGTTCCCATAAGTAAGTTCCTATAACTACCCGGTGCGAAGGCCCCTATTGTTTATTATATATGATATATGACGTTAACCTGGTGTTATTTGTGACAGGATGGGAAAAACTGTGGACCAGTGCCATATCAGCACCAGTTGGAGGGACAAAATAAACCGAGCCAAGGCAGCGACCCATCCAACAAATTTGTATGTTCACCGAGCTGTATAATTTAGTTGTCAAGCACCATCATCTGGTCACTGTTACACATAATGATCTTTTACAGTTATTATAATGTCAGTTTTTCTTTCTAAATGCTTAATAAGTGTATTGATTTTGCAGGCCTCTGGTGGCAGTATTAGACTCCTGAAGAGGAATGAGGATCTGAATACAGCTCTCGGACAGGGACCTTCAAATAAGGTACCGTCATTTGTGGTTTCTGAGTCGAATGTTGAATAGACGGTTTACCTAAATCAATATAGTCATACAGACCTGTGTTTTTTTCTGTCCATTCAATGGAAGCCAATGGTGTCCAACATTCTTCAAAATAAATAGTGAAAGAATTTTCACGTTTAGGTGAACTCTTTCTTTAATGACCTCGTATACTGGGTTGAAAAACCTTAACATATTATAAATTATATAAATCAAAAACCAACAACACTTTAAAATACATTTCTGTGTATTTAATTAGCTGTGATAAATGATGTAATTTATTTATTTGTTTACAGGCATCTACTGAGTTTGAGGAGCTGTTAGCTAATCTAAAGATCTCAAAGGATCCTGAGCCCACCCAGCACCATCTGCCTAAAGAGCCCAAGAACCAATCAGGAGAGCCTCTTTCACCACAGTCCTTTGCTATGGTGCGCAGCCCATGTTTCTCACATCACTATCTTAGGGAAAGAAAGTAAAATAAATAAATCATGTATTTAATGTCAATATAAAATGTTTTTTTCTTTGAGCAGAAGGGAACTCTGGTATTGAAAGAAATGTTGAAGATTGACAGCTCTGGAACAAGCTCTGCCCCTGATTCCACTTCTGGTGGCCAGAATTCAGCAAACCCCAACAGCCAACTGCAGAACAAGAGACGCTCCAGCAAAAAACTAGGTACTGCATGTGTCCAATCAGAACCAGAATCAATTTCTCAGATTTTGGGCTGTGGAACTGTAAATCAGTAACTAGATGCTTAATTGTTATACTTTGAGATATGCGTAGGGAATAACTGCGGGCATTCTCTGTCCCTTAGCTGCTCGGATAAACACCCCTCAGGCTGACGCCCCTGGTCTGAATGCGGCTCCTCTTCTTCCTCCTCCTCCTCCTCTGGCTGGACAGCCGCCCCTCCTGCCCAGCATGGCCACTGAACTCGGGCGGGTATGCATGGGGCTTGGGATGAGACCGCCAGATTTTGCCTTCCTCCGCAACAGACAGGTTAGTCCATCTCACCCATATGTGTCTAGTTTTAAGGATTGTGTTTTCAAGTAGCACCGGGATTCAGGAAATGAGGTTAAACTCAATTAGAGATAGAATGAGAAAGATGTAGAGGAATTTGCGATATAGATTAAATTTATAAAGTGTTCTGTTTACAGATTAAGAAAGAAAACAACTTTAAAAATATAACTGAATTATGATTGGCTTTCTTTTTTTGTAGATCTTTTTTAATTTATATAGATCTTTACAATAATTAACCAGAAATTTGGATATATTAACCTAAGCCATATATTTTTATAATTGACATAAGACAATGGGGTCTGATTCACTAATAATTGTTTGGATTATTTGTATTTAAACGCACTGGATGGCTTCTGAAAAAATCAGTCTAAGGCCTGTTTATACAAAGATAAATGTTCAGTGCAAAAACGTGGTGCGATTTTTAACATTTTAATTTGAATGCGTCAAATTTAATTTCAATGCATCCGTTTAGACCGCCATTTTAGCCGTCAATGTGACAATTATTTTAATGTAGAGATTCTCTTTTCCATCGCACTGTAGCATTTTGAGCAATGAGCAGCAGTTATGACAAATACCAGTTGTAGCTAATCAAATACCAAGACAAACATGAGAATTTGATGAATATCAGAGTATGTGATCTTTGATTTTACTTTTTTTGTAAATTTTTAATAAATTCTTTTGCTCAAAAGTTAGTAATGAATCCTGATTTGTTTGTGAAAACGTTCATATGTAGATTTCATTCACACATCTGTCCATACACAAGGCTAGTGAACCTCCTCATCCATATTTCCATCTCATTTGCTATTTTTCTTGTTCTTTAGAGTCTGACTGTGTGTCAGGTGAAGTTGTCTAACGGTCTGCTGGTTCACGGTCCTCAGTGCCAGTCCGAAACTGAAGCCAAAGAGAAAGCTGCTCTCTTTGCCCTTCAACGATTGGTAAATGTCACTGTCTCTTCAAATTTGCTCATCAAAACATTGAAGAATTCAATATATGAAAGTACTACATGTCTTTTCTCATGGTGTGATCAAGTATATGCTCCATGAGCTAGTGCCTCATGGAATACAGACAGTATTCATTTTTAGTGCTTGTCGGCCTTTGCAGAACTCGTTGGGTTCATTCCCACTGCCTCCACCCATATTCCCTGGAGTCCAGCAGATGAGGCCTCTTGGCCCTCATCCCTCCATGTTTGGTCAGCCAGCAGGTCGGAGTCATTGTATTGTTGGTTTTCTGCTCAATCCTGTTCTTTTAATGCAGATGTCCTTGCATTTACACATGTTCTGATGTATTATTTACACAGGTAGTCTTCTGATCCCCCCACAAGGGTTTGGACCTCTTCATTGGGGAATGCAGTTTCCCCATCAAGGGCAGCCGTTCTATGGAGGTACTTTTCCTGGAGCACGGGCCCCTGGGCCATCAGCAGCCAGTGGATCCCACAACCAATTTGTTCCACTTCAGGTGAGGTCTTAGTAGCGTTGTCAACATTTTTGGAATAATGAACACTAATAAAAGCTGCGCTTTCTCATCTCTCTGACATGTTGACTCGCATTGCAGTATTTTAATTAAATGGTTTATACAGTTTGTTACATGTTTTGTTTGTAAGCCTTAAAGGTCTCTTGAGGGTTTAACTCTTGTCAATGGTTTTTTTGACTTAAGTCAAAGTCAATAGTTATACCACATGATGTTTTTAAAGTTGTAAAACGTAACCTTTCTTGAGATTTGGTATGAAAATTTTTCATATGAAACTAACATGAATACAAAGAGTATCATGGACACACTTATTTGTCATGGACTCCTTTTACCCTCATATACCACTTTAGCTATAACTTGCCATTGTGTCTTTAGGTGACCAAGAAGCGCGTTTCAGGCAGAACCAAGAACCAAGAGGCAAAGCAAGGGTCGGGCAGCTCAGCCTATGCTGGTCAGACCCCGGGCAGTGGAACGGCTGCTTCTGCCTCAGTGACCTCATCTGCCCCCAAGACCCCCCCACCCAGCAGCACCCATGAGCCTGCAGATAAGCCCACACCCAAGACGCCCAGGCAGAACGCCAATCCTCACACGCCTGGCTCGGCCTCCAAGCGGAAACACAGGAAACTGGCAGTCAACTTCGAAGCTGCTAAAGTGACAGACTGAAAACATTTACACGCACTGTCCGTCTCTCTTGATCACAGTAAGAGAACGAGCGATATGAAACCATAGCAAAAACAAGATGCAGTTGTCAGTCTTCACAGTGAGACAATGTATTTGTCACTGGCACCGAATTAGTTTTGTATTGGTTTTAGTTGGCATGTTTTGAGTGGAGGAAGTGGTGGAAAACATTTTATTGGTATTGATTAACTGCACCAAAATGATCATAGAATTATGAAAAGGGGGTTTAACATTTACCTCAGCTTTTTTTCTTTCTTTCTTTTTCCTGTTGCATTTTGACCCGATTTCAGATCTTTTATCATGTTCACTGGTTACTTTCTGATGCTGGATTTTAATATTCAAAGTGCAATAATTAGTTTGTAGGCGGGACATTATGCACAAGGAAGGAATATAATGTGGCAAAATTGCTGCGATACACCATCTGTATTGGTATTATTATTATATTTTTCTATATTACACCATTGTGCAGTCCAGCATGGGAGGCTAAATAGTGTTATCTTCTTTCGGTGAAACTTCAGAAAGCAGTAAAACTATCTGACTGAACCCTTGTATCTAGTTTCAGGGGTTCAAAATAAGCCCTGTACTAAGCTAAAGATTCGACGGAAGCACTAAAACGGGTGTTAAAACCAGCCCATTATGTTCACCCAGCCAGGAAGCACACTGATTTAAGCAAATGTAATATCTATGGTTTATTGTGTGTGTACATATGACTAAATGTGGTCAGGCAGGGGATGCAAACTTAAACACAATTGCCTTTCTAATAAGATGATGCTTTGAATGGTCTTTTCAGATAGATTGTGGACATTGTTTTTATTTTTGTATTAGCCTACCTTTATTTCCTGGGGGGATGTTTAAGTTCTATGATTTTAAAATGAAATTTGTGTATTTAGATCTATGGATTTTATATGCACCATTTTACAAAAGGGATAAATAACAATTGTTAATATTTTTCTTTGGAACTTTGCTGGCATCTTTTGTTTTCATCTTCTTTGCATATTTGTATCCTACCAGATCTCTTTTGTCTGAGTTTTAAAATGTTGAAAGTATGTAAGTAAAACCTTTTATTTTTAATGACATTTGAGTTGTTTATTTAATGACTTAAATCAGAATGACAAAAAAAAAAAATGCACCTCCTAACAGGGTGGTGTGCTGTAAATAAACATTTTGTTATCATAATAAACATTTTGCTATCATATGGCCTCTGATGTTGTGATGATTATGGTTTCTCGGTGGTGTTTTTTTTTTTTTTTTTAAATATGATTTTAAAATCACAATTGCTTTCTTGGCGTATAAAGCTAAGATAAGCTGTTCAGTCATGACAAGTTCGAGCAGCTTGTCCAAAAAAAAAAAAAAAAACACCGCAGCTTCTAAATTCATGTTTGAGGCATGATTGTAACTTGTCTCAAATGTTAGTCTTTTCCAGTAATATTAACCACAGACTTTATTTTGCTCATTTAAAATTAATTCTGAAGTTGCTCAGGGAATACTTGACTCATAAATGCTAATAACTTCTTAGCTTTGATTTATTATAAGAACATATAAATTTATTCACAAATAACAAAGTGTATGAAAATGAAACAATCATTAATCAAATACTCTAAATTCATGAAAAATATTACAAGTCATCTTTGCTTTTTTATTAACACTGTTCTCCAAGCTTGGACCTCAATAAAAATTACATATCTACACAAAAAAAGATATGTTGAGTTTTTGAACAGCATACTAGTTTACTACCTTTTACTACTTTTACACCACCTTACTTTTATTATTACCTTATACTACCTTTTATTATATGGCAGAAATGGTCATTTGTAATGGAGTAGTATTGCGGTAGTGCACAGCCCCCTTTTTCCAGTTGCGCTGAAAAACAACTAATTTACTAATGTTAATTTTATATATATGTATAAACAATATATTTCTATTTTATTGTAAAATATGGATATATTTACAAACATTTAAGTGTTTTGAAAACGTAGAGATATCAACTCAGTTACGCCATTTGTACTTCAAGGGAGTGGGCGGAGTTAAAGAACTATTTTGACATTAGTTGCTTTTCTCGACTCTCTGATTGGTTTGATTTTTTTGTAAAGTTTCATGGGTAATGTAGTTTTTCCCACCAGGAATTCTGCTGTTAAACATGATTATTTTAAAAATAAAATGAAATAAAGTGGACTGATAGCTCACATTTGGTCTTATAAGTTATATTCAAAATCAAAAATGTTCACAAAATACTCGACAATTAATATTAGTGTTAGTTTATTTTCTGTGCACATTTCCGGTTTATCGCAGCGAGCGCATGACGTCGGCAGGCTGAGAGTTCAGAAACTCATTGTCGTCTGATAATGGTGCACTGTCTCTTTAAGAACTCAGTATTCACATATATCGACTGATGTGTGACGTACATATTTACAATCGTACTTTATCTACCGACCGCCTGTCGCTTGTTTTGTTGTTGCCTTCTTTACCGAGGTTCACGCGTGTGTTTCTAGTTTTTGTTGACTTATATCATTCACTAATGAAAGTAAGAGAATGTTTTAAGGTCAAAACTCAACTTTTGATATTTTATTTGCCGATTTAAAGTAACCTTGGACTAACGTACAGTTTAGGAAAGTTAGGGGACACACATGCTTTCGATTATTGTTTAAGTGAACACATTCAATCGGCTTGCTTAACGGATTAAAAACCTGCCCGAGTTTGGAAGAATGAAACTCAAATGTCTACGGAGAAAAGTTGAAAACGGGGTAATTAGCTAGAAGTTTGGACACAGCCATGGCGACTCAAATAACCTGAGGCTTTCTGAATAAGCGCATTGTGCAATGGGGACTCAAAGAAACGGGTTCTGCAAACAGGAGACTTTCATTCTCTCTGTTGATGTGGGAACAACCTCCATAAGGTGCCATGTGTACGATAAGAGTGCCAATATCAGGGGGTTCTGCACCTCGAAGGTAAATGACAGCAGGTTGACTGGAATGATTACCTTGACATGATTGTGCCAGTGCCTTCCAACGTGTGAAATCCTGACAGCAGCTTCCTTGTTGCAGGTGTCCCTTCTGTATCCTCAGCCTGGATGGGTAGAGATTGACCCTGATGAACTGTGGAAAGGGTTTGTCACTGTAGTCAAAGGAGCAGTTCAAGGTCAGACTTTTTTATTCAGCCTCTAATATCACACAAGCATGCACACAAAAACATGTATGAATGTCATTGCAGCAGATATCAAAACATCTAGTGACATGCCTGCAAACAAATCATGCTAGAATAATGCTGCATAATAAATAGCAAAATCATGCAATCATTATGTAGGCCTATTTTTGTTTTATATAAACAGTATAATATTGGATGTTTATTATAACCTTTATTTTACCAGGAAAAGAAGCACATTGAGATTAATAATCTCTTTTATAAGAGCGTCCCGGCAGACACGGCTCGTTTGAGTTTAACATATAACATCCATCAACACACAAGCAAATCCAATCAAATTTCAATATCAATTCATAATTAGCCAAAACATCTACAGCCCGATGTTTCATTCTCCAAATTGTTTAAAACTACTTTAAAAATGTCCAACGAAATCAGCTCCCTATATTTCAATGTACTTTGCAAATGAATCCAGGCAATGGGAGCAGCAAATTTAAATGCCAGTGCATCACATTACATTTTCACCAACTTACAGGATATAACGTTTATTGTAGTTATATGGGCACACAGTTTTTCTTGTTTTTGAATCCATTTGGCCAAAATCTCATGATATAAAAGATGAGTGCTATGCACAGGATATTTAAGCAGTCTGGTATTTGCAGTCTAGTTGAAGCAAATATACCTAAGACTCTTCTCCACCCTTTAAATACAAAAAAACCCACAAAACATTAGACATAAGTTCTTTATTTACCTTTGCTTCGCAAACAATTAGAGACAGTCCAAACTGTGTGTGGCACTTAATTTACGATAGAGGTGGGTGGAGTAAGTTTGACTGACAGTTTGAGGATCCAATGAAGTTAAAAGGTTTAGTCCTCTTTTAAATGCTTTTTTTAAATGGTTGGAAATAATTTGGCATAGACTGTCAATGGAGGGACAGAAATCTTCATTTGTGTTTCAAAGATGAGCAAAGGTCTTACAGATTTGGAACGTCATGCGGGTGAGTAAAAGATGACAGTTTTTTGGTGAACTAAACCTTTAAATAGGAGGCCTTTGAATATTGTCTTGTATAAAGGGGCCTTGTTGTCAAAAAAGTTTAGAACCACTGCGGTAAATGTTGTTGGTACATGAGTTCAAATGCCTGAATAAGGCTATAATAGAGACTGGTACCTCTCTGTTCTCTCTGTGATTTAGACTCAGGCTTGCAGATGCGCCAAATGGAAGGTCTTGGCATTTCAACCCAGAGGGCAACGTTCATGACCTGGGATAGGTAAGTATATGTTAAATCCTGTGATTGCTCATCAGAAAGCACTGTGGACAAACAGAGATGACTTTTTTTTTGTTATTATCTCCAGAAACACAGGAAAACCATTTCATAATTTCATCACCTGGCAGGACATGAGGGCAGTCGAATTGGCAAGTTCGTGGAACAGGTCCTGTACTATGAAGGTAAGGCTGCTGTGGATGATGTCATCATCTTGTCGACATGTTTGTTCCTTTCAGACTCTCATTGAATCACTGGAACAGATCAATTGACATAATTCAAATGACCACGTCCTTTCATTGACAATTCATTCAATATTATTACTTTTCAAACAGTTGGGCATTTGGGGTCATTTAACGTTAAATTATATATATATATATAAGATATAGATATATAAGATAAGACATTCAATTGACTGTAAAGACTTACAATCTTACAAAAATGTTACTATTTCAGAAAGTTTTTCTGTTCAAAAACTTTCTATTCATCATAGAATCCTGAAAAAATGGATCACATGAATATATTAGATTGTGAAATATTACAATTTGAAATAACATTTATTTTAATATATTTAAAAAATCAGTTGTGTAATTTTATTACAACAAATAGAACACAATAGTTCACAAAATTGTTCTATTAACACTTATAAAATATTTGTGCAAACAAAACAAAAATGATGGATTATTGGTTGCCAAGCTGTTGGTAGATTTTTGGTAGTTGGTACAGTTAATGCTGATCTCCAAATGGCTAAACAATTTCTTATACAATTTTAAAACAGTCAATACAACAGTTTACAGCAGTTTATTTCTGCAAACAAAGTGTGTATTGTTTGGACTGTGGCAGTTCGTAGTGTTTATCATTCATTGTGTATGTGAATGAATGAGTATTTCATTCCAAGTACTGTAAGCTAAATAAGCAATACAGCAGTGAAACGAGAACCTCTGTGACTTCTCGAAGACGGATTGCTGATATTTTTGTGTAACATGCTGACAGTGAATATGTGGCTAAAAGTGTTCATGTTTGAGTCGGCAGAATTCCCTTCTTAATAGCTGGTTTGAATTTCATGACCCGGTTTGGTCAGTTAATGCTCTTATGGTTTGCATCATTCACATTGATAGTTTTTTGTCACATCATTGTTGAGACAAATCTTTTCAGTTTGAAAATTGTGACCCATGTTATTGCAGCTTCTTATTAGTATCAATGTCCACATATTTGTAATGGCAGATAAAACTAGTTCTTCTTGTTTCAACACTGGAAAATGTTTTCATTATCTTATCATAGAGGGGAGAGGTCAAGCTGGAAGTTGGGGCTGGTATTCTGTTTTACTGGTTAAGTTCCTTTAAGGGTTTTTTTTTCTTGTCCATGTAATGCTGCTTTAATATTTAAAATATTTAAAGTCAGCATGATATGGAGGTTGTGATCATCATCTATTCTTCCCTATTGTGACGCTTACACGAGTGAAATGGCTTCTTTAACAAGAAAAAAGTAGAGCAAGATCTAAATGCAGCAGTCTTTATTTTCAAACTAACTAAAATCTTTACAAAACCAAATAAGCAAGTACAGAACAAACTAGAATATAGATGTCGACAGACAAGGAACAGACTGAAACACAGGCTTAAATATACAGGGAACAGATCAGGGAATCTAGACACAGCTGGAACAAATTAACTCCTAACGACAGTAATTAACAAGCCAACAGGTGACAGGGATTAAATCAATGAAACATGCAAACTGTGTCCCAATTCACCTTCTTAAAGTGAAAAAGCAAAATAGCACCCATTTAAAGTCGAGGGCAAATTAGGTGAACGGATAATAAATACTAATAAATAGATAGAATTAATAATAAATAGAATTAATAAATACTGCTATTTTTTCATAAAAATTAAGATTTGTCTTTTGATTTTATGCTGACGTTACCAGCATATTTATTTGTATGTATGTGTTACGACAGGCGGTACATGGGGTAACGAAGATGCTGCACTATCTCACCAGACAGAAGCGGTTCCTTGCAGCCAGTTTGGTTGTTTTTAATACCCATCATGTGTCACTGCGTCTTGTCTGGGCCTTGAACAATATCCCTCAGGTAAACCAGGATTAGTTAAAATTTGGTATTCAGTATTTGTCTTCTCTAGGAACATTTTTGAACCGATCCTTCTCTCTCCTCAGTTGCGGCAGGCAGTTGAAGACGGCTCGTGTTACTTTGGGACCATAGACACCTGGCTTCTGTACAAACTCACTAAAGGTGGATGTTCCATTATTTAAAAAAAAAAAAAAATCATAAATTGATGGATCCTGTACTAGAAGTCACCTGAATAGTGGAAATCAGATCTCTGTGTGGATAGAATTCTAGCTGGATTTCTTTGGCTATGTTCACACTATCACTATCCCTTATTATAGAGCTCAGCTCAGTACTTTTAAAGTTCTGTTATGTTTTATTGTTTGTTTGCAGGCCTGGTTCATGCTACAGATTACTCTAATGCCAGTGCAACAGCAATATTTGATTCCTATCAGGTCAGTTACAGCTGTTCGATTTCTATATTTGTGTAATTGCTGTTATCTGATCATTACCTTTGGTTTGTTGACTTGAGTACAAACACACGTGCCTTGAGAGATAGACAAATAGACAGTTAAAGGTATAGTTCACCCAAAAATTACATTCTGTCATCATTTACTCACATTATTCCAAACCTGTATAACTTTCTATCTTACATTGAACACAGAAGAAGAATATTAGCTGACTTTTAATAAACCCAGACAAAATCGATATAACACTGTCATAGCAAATAGCAAAAAATCCACAAATAACAATGTTCCACATTTGAAATTACTTTTCTTACAACACAAATCCCTGTTCTTGTTTTTATTTTTTTTACAAAATCTTTGATAAATTGCAAGCACATCACATATTTTTCTTATGGAAAAAACAGTTTGCAAGGGTTTCCATTCAAACTATTGTTTGTGAATCAAACGTTTAAGCATAAAGAGCGTGGTCAGCAGTATATTTTATTGATCATTTTTTGGGTGAATTATCCTTCTAGGGCTGCCCAAGTTTGTCTTGTGTTTTTTTTTTCCATAGTGTTTTGTAATGTGTTTCTGTAAGTGGTGCTTGTTCATAGATACTGTCTGTTCATAGTGTGTGTTTGTGTGATCATCAGATGTGCTGGAGTGGATTTATTTGCTCACTCCTCTCTATACCTCTCTCCATCCTTCCCAGGGTGCAGAACACAAGGTACTCATGCACCGTGAATTGTTCCAATACCTCCAGAATACTTTTTAGTGCTTGTTTGATGAAATAATTAATGCTCTCTTTTTATGTATTTAGTCACAAATTTGGAACATGCGATCCATCCATATTTGGAGTGCCCATCCCAATCATGTCTGTTGTGAGTATAAATGATGTCTAGCAGTATTACTTCATTTTTTTATATGAAGACAATACACCTCAATTAACATTTCTGTAAATGTACCCTTTTTTATGAGCTTGATTGTGTTTGGTGCCACAACCCTACCTGTCATGTGTTTGTCACAGATGGCGGACCAACAAGCAGCCATGTTTGGACAATGCTGTTTTGACACTGGAGATGTGAAAATTACTATGGGCACAGGGACCTTCATGGACATAAATACAGGAAACAAACCACACACATCTGTAGCTGGTATGACCTTCCTGTGCTGATCTTACCTTGACTAATACGCTCACAATGTTCAACTGTAAAAGAACTACTCACTGTAAAAAATGTTGTTGGTTTAACTTAAATTAAGTAACCTGGTTGCCTTAAATTTTTAAGTTAATTGAACTGGAAAAAGTGAGTTAATACAATGAAGGAGATTGATTTAATCATCAGAAACTCAAAATAATAAGTTATCTCAACTAAATAAATTATTTAAGTTGATTTGACAAAAGAAAAAAATGTTGTGATAACAAATCTTGAAAATATTTTTTTACAGTGTAATAAATGACTAGAACTATTACTAATCGAAACCAGTAACACAAAGCAAATTTAGACCCCATGAAATCAGCTTTTGGGACTTTTGGTGTGCCCTACCATTCAAAGTGAAAATAATAACTGACTTATTGTTTTTTAATACTAGTATTTATTCAGCAAGGATGCAAATTGATCATCTGTGAGCGTAAATGCTGATCTTTTGAACTTTCTATTAATCAAAGAATACTGAAAAAAAAGATCAAGTTTTTTCACAAAAATATTAAGCAGCAACTGTTTTCAACGTTGATGCATAAGAAATGTTTCTTGACCCGCAAATCAGCATATGAAAATAATTTCTGAAGGATTATGTGACACTAGCTGCGTTTGCATTATCCTGCGAATTGAAAATACACCAATGGAAACACGTAGTTTTTGCATTTTGCAAAAACTACTATATATCGCAAAAAAGCTTGTACGCTCGCATGGGGTGGTTTTCAGCCAATTCGAAAAAGGAATATTTTGTAAAGCTGCGATGGAGACAGTTTTCCGCATTTACAGGTCACTTGGCGTACGTAAAAGAAGATCCTTCTTTAAAGGTGGTGCGGTATGTTTGGACAGAAAACGAGACGGAGTTCTTTATTAAACTCATAAAAGACAAAAGAATTATGGGAATACTGGATTCTGCCACAATTTATCAAGACTTCGAAGCAGATAGGAAGGAGAAGCCTCATATATGCCGCTCCCAAGTATGAGGTGCTTTTCTTGCCATTAATGCTTGGATAACACGCCTACGTCTCCTTCGATTAAAAATAATGACTAGTGCACTGGCAGGGATACATAAATATACTAGCATTTGTTGCCATGATTTTTGTAATGACTTTTGCGAGAGAAATAAAATGACATTTTAGTCGCATACCATCATTTAATGGAAACAATAGCTTTTGTTTCACATTTATAAACAGCAGTGGGACTTTTGTACAGCAGTGCACATTACTGGAAACACCAGGTTTGGGCATGATGTCTCATTGACTCATTGATGAATCAGTGTGATTAGTTAGAAATGAGACACTAATGTGTACATTTGTTGATCCATCTCTCTTTTTCATCTCTCTGCATCATGTGTTTTCTGAATAGGCCTTTATCCGCTGGTGGGCTGGAAGATCGGTGCTGAAGTTGTGTATCTGGCTGAAGGTAACGCCGCTGGAACGGGTGCTGCGATTAAATGGGCACATGATCTAGGTGAGGAGGATTACCAATGTGCATTTACTTGCAAAGTAACAAGCCCACACATATCAATATGCATTTTCACTACATACATACAAATATAACCATTGAAGATTGTAGATGCACACTCAACTCCATTATGAATATATTTAACTTTAACTAGATCTTGTTGCAATTCTATTATTGTAGTGTAATTTCTTTGGTGCCTGTCTTACAGAACTCTTTTCTGATGTGAAGGAGACCGAAGCCATAGCCAGTAGTGTGGAAGACTCAGATGGCGTATATTTTGTGCCTTCTTTCAGTGGCTTACAAGTGTGTTTAAGTTCATCTGTGATATTTTGCCTCATAGACTCATTTATGTCTTCGTGTTATTAACTCATGGTTCACCTCATGGATTTGTTATTATTTGTAATAGAGCAGATTCTTAAATCGTGTCATGTCATTTGATTAGACATCCATCAATCTGTTCCACTGTCTGAAAGAACTGGGTGATGATTCACTTATGCAAGAGATCCAAGATTATCTGAAAGATTATGATTAAGTGTGTTTATGTTTCACAGACCCCTTTGAATGATCCTAAAGCTTGTGCCTCTTTCATGGGCTTAAAACCTTCCACAACCAAGAGACACCTGGTCCGAGCCATTCTGGAGTCCATAGCGTTCAGGTGAGCTGAGCAAAGCTGCTTGCAGGATCTGACTATCATCAACAGATCACTCATGAATCAAAGAATATGATCTGTTAAAGTTATAAAAAGGCAGAAGGGATGGATCTTGTCATGGTCAGAAATTAACCATGGCTTTGGAAAATATCGCCCCTTTATTAACTTTTACTAATGAAAGTTAATAAAGCTGCAAGCAACATTTATCAGGGTTCAAGCGTTTAAGACTTAAGTACATATGCGGAAAAAATATATTAAGTTTTATTTAGCAAGCTTGTAAACACTTAGAAACCAAAATGACTCATGAAAATATGTCCCAAATTTAGCGAAAATATCTATTTCTGTTCACAAGTTGTAGCCTTTTTTGTAAATATGGCCACTGACATATATAACATTTTGGCACTCCCTAACTTTCTAATTTTCTTGATAATTATTGACAATCAGACTCTAGAGAATCTTGCTGCACGGGTTTGGTTCCGGTCAGGCCAAAAACCTAGAGCTAGTTCGCAAAAGTAGGTTTTTTGGAAAAAAAACAAAAACCTGGAAAATTCTCAGGATGACCCTCTTAAGCCAAGGATTCCAACAATTTAAGACACGCCTAACGGTTTAAGAGTTATGAGCCATTTTGAACTTTTGACCGGTGTAGCGCCCCGTCAGGCTGATCAGGGCTACGTGCTTGAACCCCTAATAATAAAAAATCCTTACAATTACATTAGGGTTTCAGCACTTCACTGTTATTGTTCCTGTTCTGATAAAACACAACATAGCCTACTTAAATGATTAACTAACTCAAATATTCCAGTTCACTGCAGGACAATATTTCAGGTCACTGCAGGACAGTGTAAACTTTGTCCTCAACCGTATGTATTTTAAGGCATGTCCAATCCTTTTCGTAGAATTTAGCTTGGTATTTAACACTGTTTTACCACTGATTCATTGAAGTCGGCATTAAACAGAAGTTGTATTAGTCTTTCTTTTTTTTTTATCAAATGGCTTTTTGAAAGAATGTAGGGTGGGACTTGATTTTGTCCATCTAGAATTGACTGGAAGATTGTGGTTTTTTTTGTTGCTGTGATGACATGCGAGTGACAGGTTGTCCCGCCCTCATGTCAGTAAACGTCATCAGAGAAGAGAATGACTGCAGGGATGAAAATGGCACCCGAGTTGTAAAGAAAGCATATTGGCTTGTTGAGGCCCCTGATGATGCTTTTCTTCACACAACGCATTCTCACAATCAGTAATTATTGTAAAAAAGTATTTCTTCGAATTGTCATCTGACTAGGTTCTTCCACTACACAATCAGAAAAAAAGAAATTGGATGCAAACCACTATCCCTTGGCATTCTCTACCAATCTAAATTAGTTAATCAGGAGTATATTAATAGGGACCCAGTCCTTGCTTCCCCTTTAAGAAAAGTTTTATCCTTCAGATAAATGAAGGAAACTCCTGATTGAACTTTACTCAAAAGCCCATGGGGTATTCCACGTTAACTTACTGTCACATATACCCTGAACTCTCTGAACTCTGAACTCTCCCTGAACTCTCACATATACCCTGTTTACTCGTGGTATGCAGGTTATGTTCAAAGAATAAGCTTCTATAGCAACTTGCATAATCAGAAATTTACCGGTTTTTGAACTGAAAGTTGAGGTTACAAGTTGTGTAAACTTACCCTGCTAAGTTGCATAACCTGCTTTCTGGTATACCCAATTTTCCTACTTTACTCCTCAGCTGGTGTCTTTGCCCATCAAGTAATTGACTTATCCAATCCCATCTCATGAGAAAACCTTTTAAGTTTGTGTGGAGCAAATTTGATCTTTCAGATGTGTGTTTGTATACATTTAAAGGTGCCATCTAACATCATAAATCAAATCCTACTCCATATTCCATAACCGTACGGGGGCAGTATACCTCCAAAAAATGACTTGTGCTCCTACCATCGCGCATGTTATTCAAATCATTTGACATGATAGTAAAAGGTTGGAAGACCGCAGTTTCACGTGGAACATTTGGAGATTTTTAGAGATCAGAGACTCAATGAACTAAACACTAGAGTGAACTAAACTAAACACTATGAATCTCATCACTAAATGATGAAGACCGCCTCATAGATCTCAAAAACAAGCTGGTGCATTTCGACGGTATGGGAAAATAAAAGCTTGGGCAATTATTTGAAGTTTATGGTATTCGTTTTGTTCATATTACACTTTTATTGTTAGTGAATTAATTTGACAGACAGCATTCGCTGATGTTGATCAAGCTAGCGCCGTGAATTCACCGTGAGACACACGCAATTGACACTTAGCAAGCAGGTTAGTTAAGCTCTCAGATTCTGTCAATTATATTACGCAATTCAAAGAATAAATACCGTTTTGGCGCTTGTACATGTTACACGACAGATCCCTAGCGCACGTGAACCGATCGTCTCTACTAGCTGGAAAAAGAACACGAACACAGTTGAAAGATACAGTATGCTACAACTTACCAAAATGTATTCCTCATGCATAATGTCGACCAATAATTTTTTGAACTCTTCCCTGAACTGAAATGTAGTAATTGGCTGTATTTCCACACGACTGACATCAGGTTCAAGTACACACAAGCCGGCGCGAGCGCGACTCACTCGTCTATTGCAGTTTGGCTGGTGCTAACGTTGCCCGTCCGCATACCGCCTCCCATGGCCGGAACTGGTATTACGATACCTGCCGGGCCGGGGCTAGTAATTTAGCATGCTAATTCAGGTTAATATCTCGGCAGCACTATAACTTGTCAGTTTTTTAATGACATCTTTGCACTTATTTCTTCTCATTCTTTTGATGCGTGTAGCTCATTTTTCGTATATTGTTACCTCAATTATTACATATGGCACCTTTAAACATTGTAATTTCAAATGAAAATGCAATTTAAAAAGTAAGCATCAAAGCATGAAGTAAATAGGGTCTAACACTGTAAATCTAATCTTCAGGGTCATGAGAAGATAGTATGAAAATGTACGGATGAGTTTGTTGTAAAACTTTGGTAACGACCAAAGTTTTAATTCCAGCGCATCTCTTGTTATAACACCCTTGTGTACATACTTGCAAATAACAGCCAGTCTCACTCTGATTTTCAGGAACAAGCAGCTCTTTGATGTCATGCTTAGGGAAACGCGTATTCCCATCACTAAAATCAGGTGAGGGTTTCAGCCCAGTTCTGTCTTGTAGCATAGCCTGATCCTCCTACCTGCCTAAACTTGCATGTATTTCTGCACATTTATAGGGCAGATGGAGGTGTATGCACAAATGATTTCATCATGCAGTTGACCGCTGATCTATTGGGGCGTAAGATAGCACGTCCATGTCACTTTGAGATGTCTTGCCTTGGAGCTGCTTTTGTTGCGGGACTAGGAACAGGTAAGGAAAAACACATTATAAAGCCTACTATGATGTCCTATAAAGCCTTCTGTATCTATTTGATATGCACATTTCTAAGGCCTCTAAATAATCAACATGATCAAATATTTGCAAGTAACAGTCGCCTGATGCTTTTATATTTTAAGTAGTCTGCTGTACTGTTATAAAGATTTATTGATATTTCATGATATCAGAATTTCATATTTTTACTCTGTTTGGGCCTCTGAATAAGATTGAGGATTTTTTCCCTTCCTCTTATATCATACTATATGAGCCATAAAAGCCTGATGTATCGTGAAAAATTAAACTTTTTTTTTTAATTGTGTCTAAAGGTTCAATAAACTGTTACATTTGAATAAAAACTGAATATACCAGGCTTTAGAGAGTTAATCTGCCCATTTTATTCTGAATCGTCCTTTAGGATACTGGAAGAACCAAGGGGAGCTGAAGAAGCTTTTGACCACTGACCTACATTTCCTACCTCGAAAGAGTAAAGCAGAAGGGGACAATGGAGACCAATACAGAGATGTCCTTCAGAGCTGGGAGAGGGCTCTTCAGCGGTCCATGCACTGGTACAACCAGCCCTGATTTACCACAAGTTTATTCTGTAAACAGCGGTGGGGCGTTTCTCTTTCTCACTGAGAAAAACACTTGAACAGTATAATTCCAATCTAGAAACTTGCAGATCAATGGTTTATGAGTACAGTTGCCTAATCATGAGGGGTTTTACAGATTTACAACTTGCTTGTGCAAATCCAAGCCACTCAGTTGTGAATCCAGGAGTATTATTACGAGGTTGCAGGCTGCAGGACGATTCCTACTTTAGAATAAGATAGATGTTGCATTATGATTTTGCCAATCAATACTTTAGCCATTAGGCACTGAAAATCAATCAGTGCCTTTATCAAACTACTGTTTAATAAATATGAACAAATTAATTTAACTCACTGTGTGCCTTAATGAGGGGCTTTTGTATGAGTGATCCTCGGTTGTAACTCGGTTTCTCATCTCTTAAATGATGACATCTCACTCTGAGAGGACTATAGTAATATCTAATTCGTGTTGTTTACATAAATGGGATGCGAGTAAGAGGAAATTACTGCTCTTTCTCACCTTTATTAATACACTGAGTTTATACATGTTTTATCCATTATTAGGAGTGTATGGAAATTATACAAGCGCTATTGTAATTTTCAGTTGATTAGTATTTTTTCTAATTGCACATATAGTTTTGATGTTATGTTTAAACATTAAATGTGCCTCTTAATACTAAGACAATGCTGCAAACATGGAAAACCTGATACCTTATTTACTTTCTTTTTTCCGCTTGGTAGTATCTACAGTGGCTAATGATATAATTCATTCAACTGTAGTAAATAAGTGACTGTGAAACTGTAATATCATAGGATGTTATCAGGGCTTAAAAGAAAGAACAGACACATTTGTTGTAAAGGAAAGTATTTTATGAATAGACTGTCAAAGAACTCTGAACATTGTGCTATGTTTCATGTCAGTATGTGAATTTGTTTGTTTTAATAAATGTCCAATATGCCATTGTAATGTCAAATTGTGTGCCTTGTCATGCAAATAAATCCCAGGTTTTCAATCTATTTCATTTATTTAAAATGTGACCTTTTAGTTACTAAAATACTAACTAATTAAAGACATGATAGGCATTATATAATGTATGGGGCTAAAATTGTTAGTTACAGTAGTGTTTTGTTGAAAATAGTTTGCTGAAGCTCTGGGTGAGTGTTATATCCCGAACAATGTAATATACAGTGCAAATCGCACAATAATAAAGGCTAAACTGAATAAGGACCCCTTACGATTATGTAAAGGATTCTTTTGTTATGAGCACGAAATAATCCTAAAAAATAAATTATAATCTCAGAGCATTATCTGCGTATGGTTTTTGTCGTGCATTTTATTATTATGTAATCGGAATTATTTATAGTCTACGGGCGTAGGCAGAGCCATGGGCGTAGGAAACGGCCTCCGTGTTTACTATTGGTTGATCTATGTGTCAATCATCTAGCGAAGTGGGCGGGTCTACAGCAAAAATGGCGACTTTATCTGTCGGAGAGCCTCAAGAGATGGAAGGTGAGCGGACTTGTCTATTTTTAATGATTTATTTTCAAAGAAGCATTCCATAAATCAGCGATTATTATTTTTGCTCTAAGCTTTTGTACACGCGCTGAGTTTTTATTTTATCTTAGCTCTTTCCATTCATTCCAACTGCAATGTGTGATTGTTTACGTTTATCATGATACAGCCGTTACTAAAGATAACATTACTCGTCTGCACGCATGAAATGGCGATAAAAGCTGCTTCGTTTTTTTGAGTTTTCTTTTCAGTGTATTTACAAGGCATTATTTTGTAACAGACCTCTTTTGGCTGTTTGTATAGTTGTGTACAGGGCGTCAATGCCAATGCCAGCACATCTTACTGGTTAGCTAATGTAGCCCACCAGCTCCCATTACCTGACAAAGTCTCACCTGTTCAGATGGACAAAGTGTAGGAGAACATGATTGTGAGCTATCAGACGTCACAAATCGAGCTGCTGTATCAGCACAGTTTGCTAGCCTGCTGCTGCTGTGGGATGAGGGTGTGTGTGTGTGTGTGTGTGTGGGATGGGCTCATTTAATAGATGGAGGCTTTGAAATAGTGCTTTCGTGTTAGTAAGGGCCACCAATCATTTTTGACCCAGATAACAGCAGTAGTATTTTGTAAGCAAGTTGGTACTGTGGGTGTGCCCTAAAATCATTTAAAATATTATAACCAGTGATTTAAAGTTGACAGGAGGGGTGAGTCTGAGGAATCTGGTGATGATGAGACCAAGAGGAAGAGTCTCAATGGAGAGGTCGACTCTCTGCAAGCCCCTTCCACTGGTGAGTGAGACCCACCTTGGTTTTATAAGAAGTCTGAGGGAAACCATTAAAAACATTCTTTATTCCCCAAATCTGTTTCCTTAATACTTCTCTCACTTCTACTTTTAGTACCTGAGGAGTCACCCGTTGACATGGACACCATAACCTTAGACCCAGATGAAGAGGTGACTGAGAAAGTCTCTTTTTTGTTACACCAATCTTTTTTTTTAGAGAGAGAGTTTAGACCAATGATGTTATTACTTGCACATTCATTGCCTTTTATTTATTCAGGATGTGGATCTGGTCCACTGTCGCATTGGGAAGATTGAGGGTCTGGAGGTTCTCCGGAAGGCAAAGGTGAGAGTATCAAATGTTGTTTCTTTAGATTATTGATGTTGTACAATTAGTTACTAGATAAAGATTAATGGATAGTTATTCATTTAAAGTATGGAATTTTGCCTAATTACAAATCTTTAATGAGTAATTTTCTTTGTTTCCACCTTCAGACAATTTCTCTCAGACAAAACCTCATCAAACGGATTGAGAACTTGGACAGTCTTGTTTCATTAAAGGAACTTGATCTTTATGACAACCAGATCCGTAAACTAGAGAATCTTCAGGCCCTAACAGAGCTTGAGTAAGTCAGATATTATTTTTTCCAAGTACATACAACATTTTATTTAAACACTGTTTCAAAAATCAGTAGTAGTTATTTGATTTTATAGTTTAGTATTATGTGTTTTTTTTAATGTAATTAATACTTTTATTCGGAAGGATGCATTCAATTGAATACAATTGACCGTGAAGACATTCATAATGTTACAAAAACCTATATTCCCCCAAAAATGCTGGTTTTAAACTTTCTATTCATCAAAGAACCCTAAAAATGTTTCTTGAGCAGCAAATCAGCATATTAGGATGATTTCTGAAGGATCATGTGACACTGAAAACTGGAGTAATGATGCTGAAATTCAGCTTTGACATCACAGGAATAAATTACTTTTCAATAGAAAATAGTTATTTTAAATTGTAATAATATTTCACAAATGACTGTTTTTACTATATTTATTTGATTTTTTTTTTTTTTTTATCAAATAAATATTTGTTGAGCAGAAGAGACTACCAACCCAAAACTTTTGAATGTTTGTGTGTACACTACAGCTTTTGCCTCAAGTTCCTTTAATGAGACGAGGCTGTCCAAGTCTCAAGGTATTCAGGACACTGTATATACACACAAACATTCAAAAGTTCTGGGTTGGTAGTCTCTTATGCTCAACAATTAGTTATTTGATAAAAATATAGTAAAAACAGTCATTTGTGAAATATTATTGCCATTTAAAATAACAATTTTTTTTATTGAAATGCAATTTATTCATGTGAAGTCAAAGCTGAATTTTCAGCATGCTCTTTTATGATGAGCATGACATGTTTTTTAATGACTATTCAAATTCTCTGTGATATTTTTTGGGGGGATACAGATTAAAAAAAATTAAGGTAATCAAAATCTTGAAAAAATAACCTTCAGTAGTTTAGCATAATCTTTTAACATGGGATTTTAACAATAATCAAACCTGATTATTAATATTTTCAAAATGTTATCCACCAAACCAAAGTCATGTGGTGCAACTGACATTCAGGGGGAAAATAACATAAAACAAGAAAATATCATATAGAGCACCAGAGGAGATTTTTTTTTTTGAAATCGTAAGAAATCAACATAGATTACATTTTTAAGAGCTTTAAAAACTTGTATTGCGTGTATTTGAAGAATTAATAAAGAACAAAGCTTTTAAAAGAGTTGCTGCATGCAGTTTTCTCATTTGTGATCATAATTTGCAGGCAGCTAGATGTATCGTTCAACATATTGAGGAAGATTGAGGGATTGGATTGTCTCACAAAAGTCAAGAAGCTCTTCTTGCTTCATAATAAGATTACAAACATTTCCAACCTCGATCAGCTGACGAGCCTCCAGATGCTTGAGCTGGGCTCTAACCGCATCCGGGTGAGACATCCAAGACCAAATCGGTTATGCTATATGTACACATGTATATTCTCTTTTGCTTACTTAACATTTCTCTATTCATATTGTGAACGTGTTTTCAAGCTCAAATTTAGTGCATGTTAATACTTGTATGTTCATTGTAGGTTATTGAGAATCTGGATTCTCTTAGTTCTTTGGAGAGTTTGTTCCTTGGCACGAATAAAATCACTCAACTACAGAACCTTGATGGATTGCACAATCTGACGGTCCTCAGTATCCAGGTGTGTTTGTGATTAGAAAGTGCTTTTTTAAGCCATGTTTACCTTCTCTGTTGATGTTATAACATCTGTTCCTGCCTAACAGAGTAATCGCATCACGAAGTTGGAGGGACTCCAGAATCTTGTGAACCTGCGAGAGCTTTACTTGAGTCATAATGGCATTGAAGTCATGGAGGGCCTGGAGAACAATGTAAGATCTACCATGGTTGTTCATGACATGGATGCAGTACTTTTTCCTATTCTCAATTCAACATTTATCCATAACATACTCTGAAATAATAACTTGCATGAAATATTTGTGACTTTACAAACTTCTGTAGTCTTCATAAGAAGCTGTCAAGTATCAAGTAAATTTCCAGCTATTTTATTCTGTGCCTCTCCACTGCATCTTTACTCCACAGGGGCTTTCTTTGTGTTCTGATCCGTCGTCTCATTTAGCAGTGGTTTTATTTTTATCCGTCCCAAAATATTTTAGTGCTAGAATATACAGAGCTTTCATCTTCCTCTCTTTCTTTTTTTAGAAAAAGCTAACAACTTTGGACATCGCTGCAAACAGGATAAAAAAGATTGAAAATATCAGCCATCTGACTGATTTAAAAGAATTTTGGGTAAGAAGAAACAGGTTTCATTTTTGTACATCCTATATGTTAATAATAAAATACACTACTGTTCAAAGGTTTAAGGTCAGTAAGATTTATTTGAAAGGAAATCAATACTTTTACTGATCGCTCACAAGGATGCATTAAATTGTTCAAAAGTGTAAGTAAAGACATTTGTAAAATATATATATATATATATATATATATATTTAAATAGATGCTGTTCTTATGAGCTTTCTATTTGTCAAAGTTGCCTGAAAAAAGTCAGGTCGCACTTTAGATTAGGGTCTAATTCTCACTATTAAAGGGATAGTTCACTTTGAAATTAATTTTTGATATGTTTTAGCTTACCTCCAGGGCATCCAAGATGTAGGTGTCTTTGTTTCCACAGTATTTTCAATTTTGATATTTTTAGGTCAAACTGTTCGTGTCTGTTAGCCATTTAATGGAGGTCTATGGGATCCACCTCAAAGAGCGTGCACCGAGAAGTCCAAATTAAACATGATTTAATGACTCGTAAATGTAAGTACACATTGATGCCTAAGACACGAAACGAGCAGTTTGTGTGAGAAAACGAACAGTATTTATATCGTTTTACCTCTTGTAACCACAGCCATGTTCAAGTGATCTGACAGCGCGCAAGCGCCGGTGTGGTGAAGAGACGAGTCCCACTGAAGAGAAAATAAAAGCCATCAAGTAATACATTTATTTCTATAGCGCTTTTCATAGTAGGTTGCATCAATAGCAGAGGAGAAAAGGCCGCGAAATGTGAAACAAATACTACTTTTATTGTGTCTTAGGCCGTCAATGTGTACTTACATTTACGAGTCATTAAATCATGTTTAATTTGGACTTCTCTGTCCATGCTCTTTGAGGTGGACCCCATATGCCTCCATTATATGACTGACAGACAAATAAATCCTTAACACACTTGAAGCTTTCAAATTTGTTTCCTTAATCTCTCTTATACAGATGAATGACAACCAGATAGATAACTGGGGAGACTTGGACGAACTCAAGAACGCCAAAGGTCTAGAGACTGTCTATCTGGAGAGAAACCCCCTGCAGAAGGACCCTCAATACAGACGCAAGATCATGTTGGCGCTTCCCAATGTCAGGCAGATCGATGCCACCTTCATTCGTTTCTGATCATCCACTTCACCTGCCCAGCCCAGCCATCCACTGCATATTACAAACACAATGCCACCATATCTCCCTCATGCACCTCATGGCCCTATTTACCTCTTTTATTTAACAAAAAAATATCTCACACTCCAAGTGTTGCCATTCCATGTGCCAGCACCTTTTACTCACACTGAGCCTATATAACTATGCTCTGACTTATCCTATAGCGTGAATGCTTGTTAATTTATTTTTACTTTAAGACCTGATCAGTGTGAGCTGAGAGGAGCTGATACCTATCGCACAGAAAATATATCAATGCTGACCCTTACTGCTCTTAGCATTTTGGCTAGGGCATGATTTCATTCTAGTCCCTTCCATCCTTCTAGGTGATAGGCTAAAATCAGACATTTCTACCCTGTATGATTTTACATCAGGCATTGAGAGGTGGTAAGAACGTCACATTGCATTCAGGGACTGAAGACAGCTGTTAGGAAATTCTCATTCTTTGGTGTGATCAGGGACTATTTCTTTGAGTGATATGTATGGCTACACTCATGGATTCAATTTGCATATCAGTTCTGTTTCTGGTTGTAGCAGTATGTTGAAATATTAGCTGGTTGAAATGTGACAACACATTGTTCACCTTTCGTCAATACTGAATATATAATAACAGCCTCAATGAGAGATTAATCCCATTTTAAAAGGTTCATGGCAGTTTAGATGTTCTACAGAGCAAGGTGAAATTAGGTGATTGCTTTTTTAGACCTTTTTTTGAACAACTAAATATCACATGCACTCAAAATATTCACACACTTCATATTAATGCATGACCTGAGAAGTAATTTTGTCCCCCCCTAATAGGAGGTGAATGGAAGAGGCCATATTGTGGTGACGGTGTTAGGCCACTCCCATTTGACCAGTGGGAGGGGGGTTTGAGAGGGCTCAGCTGATGCTGTATAAAATGAACCCAACCCCTTTTAAAAGGGTCAGAGAACAACTGTGTATGATTGCTTTTAATTTGCTCAAATTTTCACTTTGTTTTACAAGCTTGGTTGACTGTTTCAGAATTGAATGTACTATAAATAATAAACTGAATTTGAACTGCTCATCTTTCAGACACTTGTTTTGCATTCAAGACACACAGGTTAACTCTTATTTCACAATGCTACTTATTATACATTGCCAATTGCGATATTGATTGAATCAATTTTGGATTAATTTGATAATTTAGTTAATATACAGAAGAACGTATATTCCCATAAACACACAAAAGTGAATAGACAGATCCAACCTATTACCATCTTATTTTACAAGAATAGTCTTGTCAGATCTACATACTGCAGATGTCAAATTAAAACATTAAGTATGTGTGAACTGGTCTTGTGAATTATATTGACGATGAAATAGAGAACAGTATTAGAGCTTTAAGCGTATAATAAAAACGGTAAGACTAATGATCAAATGGGTTGAATAGAAAGTCATAAATTAAATGATCCAAATATAAGTAAATGGTTTTACATATATATATATATATATATACATACATATACACACATACACTGCCGTTCAAATATTTGGGATTGGTAATTTTTTTTATGTTTTTTAACAGAAGACTCGCTCACCAACGCTGCATTTATTTGATTAAATAAACAATATCTTCTTTAAATATTATGACAATTTAAATTAAGTTTTCTATTTTAATATATTTTAAAAATGTAATTTATCCCTGCGATGCAAACCTAAACTTTCAGCATCATTACTCCAGTCTTTAGTGTCACATGATCCTTCAGAAATCATTCTGATATGCTGATTTTATGCTCAAAAAACATTAATTATTGTAAATGTTGAAAACAGTTGTGGACTTTTTTTTTTTAGAATTCCTTGATGAATATAAAGTTCTGTTTCATTTCTATTTCATTTATACATTTCTTTACTGTAACTTTTGATCAATTTGATGCATCCTTGATGAATAAAAGTATTGATTTCATTTATCAAAAAAAAAATGCTCTTCTTTTGAACTTTATCAAATAATTCTGAAATTTGTTTTTTGCATTAATAATAATAATGTAATGTAATAGGGGGGATATTAAATAATTGCAGTAAGCATAATGGACACAATTAATTAGATGTAATTGAAAACATAATAATAAAGTGGAAATATTGTAAATATAGATTTTTATTTGACATACAATTTCATCAAATTGTTTAAAACTACATATCGTATTATATTTTAAGGAATTCTTTTTGGACTATTTGTGTGTAAAATTCATTGCAGGGTTGAAGTGCGCATGGTGAGTTGCTGAGTTCATTATAATATTTCACAAATTTTGCACTTTATTATAGACTGGTGTTACACTGACAATTTATAGATTTTATTTTAATCTAAATTGCGATAAATTAACCCCTGGTTTCACATACTAAGGGTTAAGTCTCAGACTAAAATGCATGTTTGAGCTGTTTTAACTGAAAGCAACTTGCACTGATCTTAAAATATGTCAGTTGTTTTGTCTCAAGATGCAAACCAGTAATTTTTTTTTTCTAAGGCGTTTATAAAAGCCATAAATGCCACAATTGAACTAAAGCTTAATCCTGGCTTAATCTAAGCCCTGTCTGTGAAACCAGGTCTTATTAATATTCCCAAAATGTCCTGTGATTCTGAAACTATCATGATTCATGACGGCAGTCCCCATTTTAGAAAAGTCTGGATTTGTGCTAATTTATCTGTGCTTTTACTGTCTCCCTTGACAGAAATAATGGTAAAACCACTGGCATAAGCACTTAGCATCAGTATGACTAAAAGTAGCTAATTAGGCCTAAAAATTCATACTAAAGATGTCATATTAAACCAAATTTAAACACATAGCAGCAATAATTTTTTTTTTATTAAAATAAGCATTTTTACCAATTATTGTTTTTGGTTTTCTTGTTCTTCTAGGCATTTTTACAAATTCTTGTTTGCCAATAAAATGAAAGATAATAGCTTTAGAAAAATAGTAAACTATATCAAAAATTTGGTTATTTGCTAAATGAATGTGTAATGAGAAACAAGCTGGATATTTATATCATATAATTGTAAAATCAGTTTAGTAAGTGCATAGTGGCATCTTGTTCATGAAACATTTCGAATGAACTACATTACCCAGAGGTCCACTGAGGTGACGCACGGAGTCAGACGTAGAAAGAGATCCCATTGGTCGATGTCGTGCATGCGTTCAGTCGTGTTGTTGTCAGTGGCGGCAAGATGGCGACTCTCGGAGACGCATCAGCCCCGGGGGTTAATGGGTTAATACAACAGTTTACAGCCATAACTGGTAAATATTGACATTTTGCATTTGTGGGAATTTTTGCACTGGCCATTTCGTTTGAGTAAAACATGGGGTCTTTAGAAATGCTGTATGTAGGGAAGAATAATCGAGAGGCATCATCATTACTGCCCCCTCTGTCATGGAAAGGAAAGGGACTAACGAAAGAGCTAGCTGCTATCTCCACTTGCTTTAATATGAATCTACATGCAAAAGAAAAGAAATCACACCAGGAAAGGGGCGTTCAGTTGTAGACTAATTACTAAAGTGTGCCGATGGACATGTAAAACTCCCTCGCACTGAACTTTGAGCATGTGATTGTAACGTTACTTGTGTTATTCCACCATCGCTACATGTAACACCTTTAAATTCAAACCAAATTAGTACTGCAGCAGGATTTTCACTCTACGATTATAATCTCCATTGCCGAATTTAAATGCTACAGGTTGATAATGTGTGTTTGGATGTTTCCAGCCACCGCGAATGTTTAACAACTTCAGCAAGTGTTTCTGTGAATATGAGCCACAGTTCTCAACATGGCGGGTTGTGTAGGCTGATTCTCAATCAGTTATCCGTTTGGACTGTATGCCTCTCACAACTCACATCTAAGTGAAAGGTCCTCGCAAAACTGTGATGTTCTACACGGGCTGGGGATGTTCAGTTTAACTGATGTTAGAAGTGTACAAACAGGCTGCTATAGAGCCTCGCATGATGGTGTGTAAAATTTGATAGTTTCGGTTCTGTTGGTCAGAAACACAAGCCATGTTAAGCAGCTCGATACTTTTTTTGTGAAAGGTGAAAGATGCGGTACTTGTGCGCATGCGCGCTCTGAGGGGGCGGGGTGTTTAAGAACTGGAGAGAGCGAGCGAGAGTCCAGCTGCAGCTCGCGCTGCTTCTATGCGTTTTGGTTTTAAACTTCATATTTCAGATTTTACCTACTTACGTGTTTTGTTTAAATCCTCTGTTTTCGCGTATTGCCAGTAAGCGGATAACGTGAACTGCATTAAACTATAAGGTACCTACAAAGTATATTTTACAGATATTTTGAACAGTGTAACGTTAATTTTTTTTAAAATCTTCGCTTCCTTTGACATGTTTCACATACCATAAATATATAAGCCTTATTACACAAATGTAACCGTATTACACAAAATTTAGCTTATTTGTTTTATTTCGCACCAGAACTCTTCAACCTTTTTCAGACCAGGAACCCTCAGCCTCATATCAGTGTACCATTCATATAAAATTGTCTTTTAATCTGGTCAGAAGTCTGGAATCATTACTATTTTAATGGTTTTGAAAGAGGCCTGTATTTATTTGGTCTACAGAAAAAAAACATTAATATTGTGAAATGTTATTACAATTTCAAATAATGGTTTTCTATTGTAATATACTTTAAAATATAAAGTATATTAATTTCGTTGTATTGTAAAGTACAATGACAATAAAGGTATTCAATTCAAAATATAATTTATTTTTGTGATGCAAAGCTGAATTTTCAGCATCATTACTCCAGCCTTCAGCGTGATATGATCCCTAAGTAATCATTATAATATGGTGATTTGATACTCCGTTATTATCAATGTTGGAAACAGTTGTGCTGCTTAATAATTTTGTATAACCTGTGATACTTTTTTCAGGATTCTTTGATGAAAAAAAAAGATCAGCATTTAAAAAAAAAAAAACGAAATATTTTGTAACTGTGTACACTACCGTTCAAAAGTTCAAAAAGGATGTGTTGAATCGAGAAAAAAGGTGATAGTAAAGAATTATATTGTGAGAAAATATTTCTATTTTGAATAAATGCTGTTCTTTTTAAACTTTCTTCATCAAAGAATCCTGAAAAAAAGTATCACAGGTAAAAAAAAATTCAGATTATCAAATCAGCATATTAGAATAATTTCTGAAGGATGAGGATCATGTGATGCTGAAGACTGGAGTAATGATGCTGTAACAAAAAATAAATTATAATTTAAAGTATATAATTAAAGTATATGTAATTGTATTTCACAATATTACTGTTTTTTTCTGTATTCTGCAGCAAGTAGTACCTAAAGAATATTTATATTTTATTAAAATCGAAAACAGGTCTTTAGATAAGATGTCATATTTTTTCAGACTTGAACTCTCTCAATTTATGGAGCACAAATACATATATATTTTAAATTGAAAACGGTTCAAATATGCCAGTGCTGTGTCACTTTTTGATGAGACATCATAATGTTTTCAAAGAAAAACACTACTGTCAGTATATATAATTAAATCCTCGTTTCATGTCTAACGGTGTGATTTGAAGATATGTGCAACAGCAGTGCCCATAACATGTATTTCCAGTCTTTTCTATTTTTTTTTCTTTCTATTTTTTTTCCCCAGTGTGTTTATTTCTCCTCACAAATCTTTGAATGCATATTTTTGTTTGCAGGAGCCACAGAGAGTGTAGGGAAGCATATGTTGGAAGCATGTAACAATAACCTAGAGATGGCCGTCACCATGTTTCTAGATGGAGGCGGCATCGCAGAGGAACCCAGCACAAGCGCCAGTTCAGCCGGAGCCTCCAGCAGCAGACAACCTCCTGCAGAGTGAGTGGCAGTCTTTCTCAAGCAGCATTATGGTGTTTGCAAGTCACTGCATGCTCTGTGCTTTGAGTTTGATTGTTGTGACCTCCTCTCTGACAGAGACGACGTGCGAGCACCCATTCCTCAGAAGCAAGACATTCTGGTGGAGCCAGAGCCCTTGTTTGGAGGTATTACAGGTCACATTTATACATCTTTTCTGCCTAAGCTTATTGCGAATATTGGATGGGA